AACAAGATAAACTAAGAAGGCTAACATGGCAAACATTCCTATGTATGTATTTAGCACACGTGTAGTTTTAGTAATATTTTTGAAGAAGGGTTTGGTTTATGCCAATCTAAGGAGTTTTTGCTTATAGGGACATCTACACACATCCATCTGCTGCCCCTGAAGCTATACAACTTGATGCCAGACACAGTGTTTGCATTTTTTTGTTCTTCTTTCAACACCTGTCATGTTTATATTTGGGTTTACAGGTTTTACTATTTTTGTATTTATTAGTTACTAAACATGTGGCCGACAAAGAAATAAAAATAAACCCCTTCAAAACCAACACTTGTTTTATTAACTATTCTGTTTTAGCGCAGATTAAACAAGCAACATTTAACATGTTAATTACTGAGCTTTAGAGATGCTGGAAGGCAGATCTTGTTACCCTTCAGGCATAGACATGTTTCCCCTCTACTTCCAGTCTTTAAGCTAAGCTAAGCTTAGGCTGCTGCCTTTATCTTCGTATTTACAGACATGAGAACAACAAGGTTTCATCTAACTCTATCCAAGAAAGGAAAGAAAAAGCACATTTTCCAAAATGTTGAACTACTACTTAAAGGGAAACAGTCTCTAAACATAAACATATAGTCAACAAGTATGAATGTCACCGACTGCAGAGGAGTTGAGTACAGTAAATATTTTCTGAGTCTGAGAGACTCCTTTCATCTGGTTTTACGAAATGCCATTCTGGTAATAACATTTGGTTGATTTAAAACAAAAACGTTATCCAGAAGTGAACATAATATCAAGATTAGCATGTTTTAGTAACTGAGGCAGGAGCTTTTTGTAGAATTTGTATTCCTTGCAAGCTGTCATAAAACAGCGAGTCACTCACTGTTGTATAATACTATCCCTCTGTATGTTATTATTATTGTGCTGAATTAAAGTTGCATCAGTTAAACTAATATGAGATTTTTCCAACTTCCTTTAGTGAATCATCTTACCCACGGACATCACCAAACTTAAAATTCAATGTGCAAAAGTAGCTGGTTCAAAAGTATATTTGAAGCCTGCAGAAGTAGACGCCGGCCTGTCACATTTGATTTTCTAAAGGCAAAACAGAGTAGACAGCAGAACACCGAGATCTTAAATTCACCGCAGTTCAAAGAAATGTCAATCAAAACATCTTTCAGCTGTGATTAACAATTATAATTATTTTTTGAAATGTATGGTGTTGGCTTTATAAAGCTCTTAACATTATTTTTTCTCCCTGGGATATGTCTGTACCGGGAAAACCAACGAATAAGAAATACAAGGAGGAGTTTAAACAAATAATGTAATCCAATGCAATAGCCATGCAATAAATGAAGCTTAAAATGTTTTAGTTTTTGGAGAGAAGCTGCTTCAGCTCTTTAGTTGTTTTTTAAGCAATGGTTTGTGTTTTGAATTGCATTTTTCTTCAGGCAATGGTGGCCAACCTCTGTTGCTAGCCTTTATCAAAGATCTACACTGGTTGTCCTTCCCAATACAACAACATTTGACTGAAAAATGAACTCTTCTGCATTTTGTATGCTCTCTAGATGAAGAGGCGCCCAACTTCTCCTCAAACAAATATTGCTCTCTGCTTGGTTTGGTGGTATTTTAAAACTGAAGACGTTAGTGCTTGTGTTCAATTCTGCCGTTCATGCATGCGCTGGCTGGTCACTCACAGTGAATGAATGGAGCCCATTGATGGCCATCAGTGGAAGTTAGTTCATCAGGGCCGGGGTCAGAGCTGAGTATGGCCCAGTCATTGTTTCCGTGGTCAGACTATACACAGTGACAGTATGGAGATGAGCCTGACCTCACTGTGGCTGTCGTACACTGAGAGCATTCACAATACCTCTTATATGAGTCCCACTCAAGACAAGCCTCTGGGTCATTAACAGGAATTATCTTCCTAACCTTACCAAGTCTCCATAGTTTATGACGAATGGCTTTTTTCTAAAAAGTCTTTGCTTCTTTACGAACATTACGTTTCCTCATCAAATGGGATTTAGCTGTATAAGATTAATTATTTTGGCCTTTTATTATATACTTTACCAGAAGATAAGGGGAAAGAGAGGGGATAACATGCAGCAAAGGGCCAAGGGTTGCTTTATATCATACTATGATAGTATTACAGTATTGTACAGGTTATATGGTGTATATATACACAACTTGTTCAGAACTGAATTATTGGGCCCCCATGGCTGAGGACGCCAGAGTTTTGTCCTACTGTACTGAAAGAATTGCATTTCAATTGTGCAATATTTAATAGAAGCAGATACAAATGAACCCAGAAGCACATTAGGACATTAAAATGTTTAATAAATTAACCCTGCAAATGTGATGCAGTATCACTTAAGAGCAAACATTTTTAACATTTGTTTGGCTCTATGAAACCTGATGTACTTATATGATTCTGTTTTCTTCAAGGTTGTGTCTTCCTGGTCGAATGTACTTATTGTAAGTCGCTTTGGATAAAAGCGTCAGCTAAATGCAATGTAATGTAATGTTTAAAAAGGAACATTCAGAGAAATTATTTCATAACAGAACATAAAATAAGTGTTCAGCTCTAATATTCTGTAATACAGGCACGCCAGAATTAGTCATCCTATCAGAGCCCTCCACTGTGGAGAATAGCCTGGAATAACAGCTCCATTCCCTGCTCAGCAGACAGTGTCATCAGAACACACTGAAACATCTCTCACCATGGGACCACCTTGTCCTCTGACTCAAACTCCCAGACAACTTAATTTTCATCTGATCCTGATCCACTGAGGCGAACACCAAGCTTTGCCTGTGTGCTCCTGCTGTAAACAGTCAGTTAGATAATGCATCACTTATTTATTCTCTCTTATGTTTTGTTGTTCACATTCTGAGCACAATTTCTTGTAGACTAGTTTACATCATCCTGTTTCAATTAATCTTGAGAAGTATTTTTAAAATGGCGGGAACAAAAGCCTTTGCAGTGCAATGCAGGTGTAGGACGGAGCAGTGTGCGGTAAAGGCTTGCTTATTATCAGGTGTTTGTGGGCTGCATGCACCCTGAGGGATGCAGAGTGTGAGCTCACTGCATATTATTGGAGAGTAAACACTCGAACAAGAGTCTTATGTCGAGCATGAGCTTTCTCACTCGTCTAGAATAGAACACAGTGATGATGTTAAAGTGGTTGAAGGCTGATGAACTGTCATTTCAGTTTTTCTGACGTATGTTTTTTAACCAGTTTTTAATCATTAATGTGTCATTGATTAAGGGCTGGTAATATAGGTTAATTCACCGTGGTTAAGATTGAAATATCTCAACATACTTTTTGTGGATTGATTTGTAATTTTGATATTCATGTTCCTCAGAGAATTAAATGTAATATTTTTGGTGAAATGTTGGCTTTCACTACACTACAACATATCAACATATAAATGGATTGCAGATAGATACACAGAACATGTTGTGGAGAAAGATATGGTCCTGAGAGGATGTATCTCAATATCTTTCTTGATAAAATATAACTTTTGGATGGATTGCAGAGATATTCATATCTACTCAGAAGGAGTTGTAAATATTTAATTGAGCTCTGATTTTTAAGTGTGTACAATCATAAGTTTGGCATCCTCATTTTTCCAATACTTCTAAAAGTTTGTGGGATAAGATGTGTAAGCATTCATCTAAAAGCTGAGCTAAACATACATATATCTCATACACAGTCCTGTCCTGACCACAGATGGGTCACAACTTCGGTCAACCATCTGGCCTGTCTTCTCATCTCCTCTTTGTAAAGACAGAGAAACAATAGGCCATGCCTCCATTGTCCGGTGTCAGCTTCCTCCTACAAACTGTTCCAACTATAAGTAAAAACACCACAGACCACAAATCATTAACTCCTATAGGGTATCAGACTCAGGTGGTTATACCTGCAAATCATTTTTTACTTGGAGTTGAGCTTTTTATCAGAAATTAATCCAAAGGCTGATTCAGAGTCTATTAGCAAATGTCATGAGTTTCAATGCCTCAAATGTTCTCTGGTGCCAGGACCAGGAGACGTGCTGGTTTATATTGCCTGCTTTTACAGTCCTGTAGTTAAACCTAACGACACCTAGAATATATTAAGTATAGCTGTTCAGCATTGCAGTCGTAACAGATGCAATGCAGCTTTAGCAATCAACTACAGCCTGTGGCTCAGGAGGTAAGGAGGTCGTCCACCAATCATGGGGTCGGTTTTGTCTGTCTCCTGCACTCTACTTAATGGCATCTTTTTGGTCAAGATACTGAACCAGAAATGGTGCGATTGCATGTGAATGTTTATCACTCCTGATGATCAGGTGGCACCTTGTATGGTAGCATCTGCCACCAGTGTATGTGTTTAATGCCGGCTTGTTTGTAGAGCCCCAAATAGCTTTACCATTTACCACCTTGATGGGTGCACAACAGCCCCTGGCAAAATCAGGCCAAATTGGGCGAGGATCGTAACATTTCCGGTGCCCCTTGCTTGAACCAGACTAATCTTATAACTCAGCCTTCATTTTGATCTCAACCCCTCTATGGTTTTGTGACTTCCTCTTGCACTGTTTTGAAATTCTTACGACACTTATTTCAAGTGATTATGTTTTTGAGTGTTACAAACCCACAATCACCATGAAGAAACTGATGGATTGATAACAAAATAAGAACGATTCCTATGGGGACCTTTTATTTCATCCTCTGACTTAGCAGGCAACAATTAATTTCCTCTCATAGTATTTATAGCTATTACAATCACTTCCTCTTGGTTTCAGAGCAGCTCACATATTGACTGTTTCCCTGTGATTGTGATCATCTCAAAAAAGCTGAGCAAATATTAGGATGCTGAATGCATTTTTACACTGATGATAGGCTTATTAAACTAAGGTAATACTGTGGTTCAAAGTGGAAAAATCGCACTTGCCCACTGAAAGCGATAAGATTTGACTTGTATTATTGGGAGCCACATTAACTTTATTTGTCTGTTTCTTCTTGTCCTTAGGTACAACCCGGCCCCTTCGAGACGGAGAGGTCCCAGGGGTGGATTACAACTTCCTGTCTGTGGAGGACTTCCTAGAACTTGAGGAAAGTGGAACACTACTGGAAATAGGAACATATGACGGTGAGGATGATGATCACAACTGACCCTACATGTGACTCATGATGGCGCAGGTGTCCTGATTCTCCACAGATACAATGAGCGTAGAAACATTTATTTGTTCCTACATGCAGGCGGGCAGAAAGACTTTGCTCCAGTTGATTCAGATTAGACTGTGCATGATGGGGAGGGAGATGCATTCAGGAGACAGCAGGTCACTCCACATCTGCCCCTCTCACTCTGATTAGGACAGTGTTGTGCAGTCTTGTTCCAACACAAACCTGTGTGTTAACATGAGTGTGTGGGTGGATGTGTGTTTGTCTGCGAGCCTGTGTGTTGTGCAGGGCTAAGTCTAATATATGTGTGTGTTGTGTGTGTGTGTGTGTGTGTGTGTGTGTGTGTGTGTGTGTGTGTGTGTGTGTGTGTGTGTGTGTGTGTGTGTGTGTGTGTGTGTGTGTGTGTGTGTGTGTGTGTGTGTGACATTAATCTGCTTGGCACCGCTTCTGCTGTTGGCACGTTTCTCCCTTTCACGCAGACAATATCAAATACCTGTCCACAGGAGTCTGTGGACATCCAGATAACCACCAGAAAACTGGATTATTGATCATAACTGCAGTAACCCTGGAGTGTTGTGAAAAATAAATATATATTTATTAAAAAGATTAGATTATAAGTACCTTCTTCTAATTCCCTCACAGTTTTGTTAAGTATTTTTGAGAAATGTTTATTTTAACATGCCACTTCAGTCACTGTTGTGTTTTATTTAGAATTGTATTCTTGGTAAAAATACTATTTGTCTTATCCCTATCTCAAATGTGACTTAGGGAAATTACCATCTCCATTTGCAGGACTTACTGTATTTTGTTGTTCCCAAAGTAAGAAGTGAATTGGGAAAGAGTGCTTTTAGATTCTCTGCACCTACTGAATAGTTTATTCTACTGACTGATCATAAACCTAAATGTATTGTTTACCTAAACAGGATTAAAGCTACAGTGTATAGGGAAATGTTATGAGGGCAGAATGTGGGTTCAAATGTTTTATCTGATCATTTGATGTTAGTCAAATAGATGTGCTTTTATCTTGGTAAAGATATATTTGAGCTCAACAGGACAAACCTGTTTAAATAAATGATAAATTAGAACCACACAATTGATAGAGACATTAGTTAAAAGGATATGAGAGAACATTAACATCCATAGCGCAATTCAAACAGCCTTCGGCCTTTTCCGAATTATTTCTTTAATACAGAGTATTTGTTTACTGTAAACAGAAGATAGCTACTCTAAATTTCACATTTACATTACACTCTTAGGCCCCGTCCACACGGAGACGAAACCGATTTCGAACCGAAGTCGATTTCAAAAAAGTCTTCTGTCCACACGGAAACGGCTCAAGAAACGTGTCCGTCCACACAAAAATACTGGAGACGCTGTAGTAAATATACCGGGCCTGTAAGTGGCGCTGTACTTCCGCCACAAAATACACCAAAAGCAGTGAATAAGACCGATGACGATTATTATTATTATTATTATTATTATTAATAATATCATATTATATTATTATTGTTGCTGATGGTTGTGGTAGAGGAGCTGTAGATTTTGCACTAAAATCTGTATCATGGTCAGTCGCATCTGGAGCACGAACGCAACCCTGTGATCCGCCATTGTTGTTATTGTTGGTGAAACGCATCAGCAATGACGAGGGGGTGAGCAGGAGAGGCGGGGCTATGGCGTCATCGTTTCAGGAAATTATCGTATAGGGCGTACACACCAAGCCCCCAGGAAGTGCGCCAGACTCTGTGCCTAACATTCGTTGTGTCCAAACGGCGGTACTGCAACTTCCGTATCAGTCCATGAAATCACTGGTCCCAGAAATACTTTTTCCCATTGACTAACATGAGGAAAGAGACGTCTGTAAATCAGCGGATAATTTGTTTGTAACTAAATAAACTACCCAGTATTAACTATTTTATAGCCCTTATTAGAATAAATCGGTCCTTAAAGTTTTAGAATGCACTAAAAGCCGAATCTAGATTTATTTTTCTCTCCATTCATTCTAGTGAGCCGAGAGTGGGAGCTCGAGGGACGGGGCTTAAGTGGCACAGTTTGTCGTAAAACTGTTGAAATATAAGACTATGACAAAAACGCAACTAGAAAGACTACAAATCCCAGAGTCGCGTAAGTGATGTCACAATTGTTTTCCTCCACTAAGAGATAGCTAAGATCAGCGCCATATAGATATAATCTATCTATATGGTGCTGGCTAAGATAAGATAACTTTAACAAGATGCCTGTGTGCTTAGTACCAGGTTGTTATCATACCAGCAATGGGTCTTGCTCGTTCTTTCGCTTCCCGTCTGATGAAAGGACCAGGAGTGGCTGAAATGCTAACGCTAGCATCGGCGATCGCCAATCTTTTCTACTTCATGCTATCTGCACAAATGGTTGACATTAAACATTAAAAAGACCAGGCAGTTCAGAGAGAATCAAAGGCAGGCAGGCAGCTTTGCATGACATTCTTCTGGACCTGTTTCCTTGTGGTGATAGTGAGGATAGTCAATCGTTTTGTTGACAAGACAGTAGTGACAGCCATCTTGGTGACGTCTGTGTTGTTGTGCGAGACCAGAGATGTAGTTCATTGAGCGTTTCACACAAAGAAATGTGTTACTTCACAGTTTTACGACACATTTTTATTTTTTTGACTTGCAAAATTATCTTTTTAAATTGACAAACATCATATGTGTAATTCGAGGCACAATTCAAACAGGATCGAAAGATAATCTTTCTCTCTCCATTGACTTCAATACATAATTTTTCCGAAATAAGGTCCCATACATAGGTCCCATGGAGCTCCCCCGGAAGGGGAGGGACTTCGCCACTCTATAGAGTGGTGCAGGGATGACGTATTTACCCGGAAGTAAGCTGCGCATGGGTTCCCTCGTCAAAAAAGCAATGGGATTTCTCCATAGGATTTTGAAAAATAGCTCTAAATAAGGTCTGTGGAAAACGAACCTCTTAGATAAATGCACGTTTTGTTCAGCCGGATAATATCCACATGTCTACCCTACTTTTTTTTAATCTAATCATAAATCTAATCGCCAGAAGCAAAATGCTAACGTTATGCTATAAACAAACTACAGCAGGGTCGCTGCTTCAACGGCACGTCAATTTAAGATCGATATTCAAGAATACAGATTCAAAATTGTACAAGTTGAAGCTTTTGGTTTAACAGTTTGCAAGAGTGCAGGTACTTGCTTTCAAGCAAAACAGGGAAAACAAAGTGTGTTTACGTGTTCTGTGTAATGTCGTACAACTTCTGTAGTCCTATAGAGAGGCGAAGTCCCTCCCCTTCCGGTGGACCTCCATGGGACCTTATTTAGAAAAAATGATGTATTGAAGTCAATGGAGAGGGAAAGACTATCTTTCGATCCCGTTTGAATTGTGCCACGAATTACACATATGATGTTTGTCAATTTAAAAGATAATTTTGCAAGTCAAAAACTACTGTCTTGTCAACAAAACGATTGACTACCCTCACTATCACCACAATGAAACACTTCCAGAAGAATGTCATGCAAAGCTGCCTGCCTTCCTTTGATTCTCTCTGAACTGCCTGGTCTTTTTAATGTTTAATGTCAACCATTTGTGCAGATAGCATGAAGTAGTCTCCCCCGGGCTTAAATTGTGTATTATAGAATGATCACACCGGTGTGACAGTACTCTTCAAAGGGTTCACGAAATATGACTACTACTCTTACTGTTTAACATTTTGGGTTACTTAATGTTACTTCATATTAAAGCTAATAAAAATGACAAGGCTGTAATGATAACTAACGTGCTAGCTACTAGCTAGGTAGCTAACTTGATCCAGCCACTCCAGGGCTGAAGTCGAATAGTCCATTTAGCTTAGGAACCTTCCTAACTGAGTGAAATGACCCGGAAGTCCCTCAGTGGCAGCCATGATAAGTGCCGTTCGAATCTAGATGATAGGAAAGGAGGTTTCAAACTTCCTTTATAACCTCCTTTAGCTTAGGAACCACTGGACCTCCCTTGACGAAAGGAGAGGAGAAAGTGCTGCCCCACAATGCCTTGCAGCCGCAGCATTTGCCGTCACTCAACAGTCGGCCGTTCACGGAAACAACCGATTATGACCGAGAAATTATATCATGAAAGTTACGGTGCTTATTAAGCATTTTAAAACGTATGTGGTAAGTTGCCAAAGTGCTTTGTTCTGAACGTTCATCAGTATTATAATCAAAAAGAGAAATATGAACGTTAGTTTTTACTGAAATGATCAAATAAAGTCAACATCTCACAGTCTTTACTGAGCTGTGTGGGGTTTGTTCAACTTTTAAAAGATGTTTGAATGGTGATAGACACAGTGATAGATGTTAAGGACTAACGTTTATAATAAATACATTTGTATTTATTTTACATCTTCAGTTCATACAATAATACGTATTGGGATCATTTGTATTAATGTGGACCAGAGGGAGAGGGTGACGAGCATAAGTTTCACTTTCCTTTTTTATTTCAATTCCAACTTTGGTCATGAAGAATATGTTTCTCTGTTGTCCACGTTCATAAAGCATAAAGCAACAGCATCAGAGCACGGTGCAGAGTCTCTAGATGAGTTTACAGTAGTCCCTCGTTCTTATTAAACATCCATGTTATAGTCCGCTGTATAGAAAACTGTAGTTTCCATAGTTTCCCCACAGCAGCAGACGCACATTCATGACGTCCGCTGGCGCATCACAAACACGTTGGATAGTGAAAGTGCAGTCGGATTCTCTAAAGTACCGCAGTCTCTTCTCCTAAATCCTTTTGAATTCTCCTATCCACTATCCCTTAACCCCGTGACGTTTCACTCAGAGGTCAAGGAATAGACGATAGGGTTAGACGATAGGAGCTGATTTTTTGATTATCCGACCGCAACCCAGGTCCTTTCATCAGACGGGAAGCGAAAGAACGAGCAAGACCCATTGCTGGTATGATAACAACCTGGTACTAAGCACACTCTCTCCATTGACTTCAATACATTATTTTTTCCGAAATAAGGTCCCATGAACCGGAAGTAGATGGGCGTGACTTCGCCACTCTATTCAGCCACTTGTTAACAACCGTCGTTTTTCAGACACGTACACTCTTCAAAAATCACCAGTGTGGTCACTGCTGATGTATTTAATGTCGTAGAACAAAACGTGATCCGTCTCTTAAATTTGTGTCAACCACAGACCTTATTTCGAGCTATTTTCCGAAATCCTATGGAGAAATCCCATTGACTCTGAGACGAGGGAACCGGTAGTGGTAAAATGCTAACTCACTTCCGGGTTTTAGGACGCGTCACTGCACCACTCTATGAGCAGCTCTCATAGGAAAGAACGAGATCCCGCCTCCGACGCTGTATCCAGTTCTTATTATACATCCATGGTAAACACAGAGCTGCAAGGGTTTCGTCTCCAGACTTACCCACTTTGGGAGCCGTTTTCAAAGTGTATTGTTTTCGGGCTCCGAATCCGCGGCTCCGTTTCGGCTTCGTGTGGACAAACCGTCTATACGATAAAGAACGTTAGCGGATACAACTGATATCGTCTTGTGTGGACGGGGCCTTAATCCTAAACCAGGTTAATCAGCTGCTGATTGCATCAATTAATTAACAGACATGACAGTGGTATTGATCTAGCATATTTTTCTATCGTTTGATCCAACTATTGGCAAGAAAGCAATAAAGGGTATTTCCCCAAATGTTTAATTATTCCTTAAATGTAGCCTCTATGGTATTGTCGGACCCCTAGGTCACCAGGATGTCTCTGTCTCTCATATCTATAAAGAATGTGTGAATAGAGTTGTAACATACAGGATAACGACTTAATGAAGTATTTGTTTGTGCCTCTGAAAACAAGACTCTCAGTCATAAAAAGCTACAAAAACAAGCTGGCTGTTGTGAGCCGGCCATTGTTCTTGCTAAGTATGCTTTCAGGATCCAGACAATGAAGCTCTGAAGCCTCGAACACAATCTAGTTCTGCTTTCTCACCAGCTGCTTTTTCCAGGATTCATGATCACACTGTGATCCAGCGCAGATCATGAGGTTTCATAGATTCTCTGCCTGCTACCTTTCTGCCTGTTTCTTTTCTATCCCTGGTTTCCTCTCTCTGTCTTGGTTTCTCCTTCTGTGTCTCTCTCAAGCATGCTAATGCCCTTCTTGTTGCCTAGGTAACTATTATGGGACCCCCAAGCCGCCAAGGCAGCCCATCAGTGGGACAGTGATTCTCAGTGATGCAGGCTCCCAGCAGTCCACCCCAAAGCGCACCAAGTCCTACAATGACATGCAAAACGCCCGAGTAGTGCCTGCTGACGACGAGGATGACGACCAGGCCACGGAAATGAACAACAGTTTTACAGGTGAGGGCGTCGCTCCACCTCTCCAGCCTCCCTAAACTTTCTGCAGCTCTCTTTGTCTGTGCATGTATTCTCCATCTGTGCTGTGTTGAGTGGATGCTTGCTTAGGAGTGTGTGTGAATGTTCAAGATTAAGGATATAGAAGGAGAGAGATAACGTGTGTGTGTTTATGATTCTCTCCTCTGTTGTACGGTGCTGGGTGTCTGGCGGTTACATCATGTCTTTGTGATGCTGGTTCCTTTTTCTGTGAGCCTCCAAACACTGCCATCTGCCTGTGAGGAGGGGTGTAGAGGGGGAAGAAGTACACTACAGTATACACTCATTTTCTCTCATTGCTACAGGCCTCAAATCCTTTCCAAGCTGTATCTACTTCTCTTGATATTGCTCATTTAATTACTTCTAGGATGTTCATCAAATTTGAATATGTCATTCTCAGGTATTATTGCTTTTTCAAACCACATAGTTTCCAATACATGTTAGCATTCTGCTAACATCCTCTGCATCTCAATCAGTTCCATAATAAATAAAATAAGAAACATTGTGATTTCTATGCCAAAGCGTCAGTATTTTCCCTCGTTTTCTGTCGCCTTTAAGCTATATCCTGTTTTTTGATAGCAAGACCTGGTTTATGTTTCTCTCTTGAAGCTGGGAATCTATGCCCTCTCTGTGAGAGTGTTGAATTAGCATTCGATCAAATCCTGAAAGGCCCACGGAAGTGGTGGAGGACATTGGGCCAGAACTGGGGAGTGAGTGGGGAGTGGGGGGTTGGGGTAGCTAGCCTTAGGAGAAAGAGGCTTATGGGCAGAGCGGTAAAACAGGGTGGGGGTCAAAAGAGTTTGGGGAAGACTGTTGCTGGAATAATTAGCATATTCCTGGGGCCCTTTGAGTACACTAGATATGGGCAGGGGGCCAAACTTAAGACGGGGGGGAAGGGGAATGTGGTGTGATTAAAGTTATAGCATCTCTGCTTATTTCCTCTGTTCTTTTCTTGCATGCAAAAACATAAACTGTGTTTTTTGTTCTTTTTTGTTGTCGTTCCGTGTTGTACTCCTTGTGTTACCCAGGATCTTTAGTGCGTAGTCTCTTCCCCTCTCCTTTGTTGTGCACAGGTAACCCTATTGACCAGGACGAGAGCCGCGGCGGCACCCTCCGGCCGTACCCCGCACGTGACAATGCTCCATCCTGTGGTCTGAACAATGCGGCCGCCTCCACCTCAGAAAGTGGGCAGCAAACCCTCGCAGAGCCGCAGGTCTCTCCGGAAGACCCGCAGGGACCTCTGCCTGAAAACTGGGAGATGGCCTACACTGAGAGCGGAGAACTTTACTTCATAGAGTATGTATCAACAGCCTGCAACATTTCAAAGTGTTATCTCCTGCAACACACTCTTTGCACTGCCTGAGTAAGCATTTCTCACCGTAGCCCATACCCTAGTTTGTGTTTTCTGTATTTTACCTGCACAATTATCCCTTTTGTTCGTCCAGTGGCTTGTCTTCCCCCATGATTTGGTTTTTAGGCCTCCCCAGCCAACCTGCCCAGCCCCCTGGGTGCCACTGCTTTCCTGTTAATCCCTGCATGTCCCGATCTCTAAAGGAGATCACATCCTGATCACCTGACTACCTCCACCTCTCTGTCCTCTCCGCAGCACGGCAAAGCCACACCACCAGGACATGGATGTGTATTTTCAGAGCTTGTATGTTTATTTCTGCTATCACTGATTTACAGTATGTTCTTGTTTAACAAATAGAGGGAAAAGTCAGGTCATTTATTGGTAATATCCTGCTTGTGTTGCTCTATTATTCTCATTTCTTCTTGCAGCAGGCGCCTTCTGTCCTCTGTAAACTTGCTGACGCGGTTTACTTTCTAATTCTTATTGATGCATTCATGCGCCCCTGCTGTGCTTTTATATGTCGGTGTGACAGCCTGTGTTGAATTATTCTGTTGTCTTGTTTGTTTCCTCTCAGCCACAACACAAAGACCACATCATGGATGGATCCTCGGTGTAGAGACAAAGCCTCACGGCCAGAAGAGTGCGATGATGAAGGTAAGCTTCTACACAACATCCTTTGCACAATAAAAGTTATTTAGCACTTCAGCGTAGTGCTTCAGGAATCAGTAGGTGGTGTGTGAGGTCTCAAACAATGTGCTCCTCCTTGTTACAGAGTGGTGACATTTTAACTCATTTGCTGTGAAACCTACAGATTGATTTTAGATAACTAATAATGATCTTATAAACAACAAAATGTTTGATAAATTACAAATTACAGTTGTGTTGAGCACAGCAAATTGCACCATCAAGTGGCGAGATTTAAAGTGGCACACATTGCACAGGATTGTTTAAAGGCTGTTTTATCTTGTTACTGTACGTTTTGAAACTAAGGGGTTTCTTTTTGCCTTTCTCTGGACTGTCACTTCCTTCTTTATTTGCTCTTCGATTCTTCCATCCCCAACCCACCTCCCCTCTGCTTTGCATCCCCTTTTCTATTCTTTATTTTCTATTCTTTGTTTCATCTTTAATTCTGGAGAAGAAGGAATACATACGGAGGAACTGGAAGCTGATATAGGTAATACTTTTGTGTTTAAATAAAAGTGTTGTTGAGACTAATAAGGTTTATCAGCTATGTTGATCTCTGAATGTTGACCTTCTCTGTAATGCTGCACTAAAAGCTGCTATACCATTTATTTTGTTAATGCTTCAATGAAATGGAGGCTTCTTTATTGTTCTTTAGTGAACTTTGAGGCAGGAAAACTTTTGCAAGAAATGTAAGGACCGTCTGACTGCGAAGAGCAATGTGATGATGTTACCATTTAGTACCTGCTTTGCATGCTACAAGCAGAGTGGAGGATATTTGTACCAGCTGCAGACCCAAAAAATAGAAAAGACTGCAAGTAATGTAAACAATGCAGGTTTAATTAAAAGATGGATTGAATATGTTGTTTCTTAGACCTTACGGATACACAAATGATGAATTGCTGAGACTGTAAACAAATGTGTTTACGGAAAACAAATTCACTTTAAAGCACAAAGCATTTTCCCCATATTCCTGCAGAGCAGAGATGTTTATTGTTTAGAGAGGGCTTATGACCCCATGTGACGTAAACCTGACCATCGTAACCCAATTCTGTGTATTTTGCCAATAGCATTTCCAATATGGCATTTGGCATTATAACATTTCTTTCTCTGCTCTCCAAATGTTTTCCTCTAGAAATTCATTTTTTGACTGGAACCAAAATAGTATCTCTCCCTCAGTTTTATTACTTTAAGATATTTACTTTCTGTAACTCATGTGTCTCATGTTGATTTAACATTTGATCAGAAGTTTGTTTTTATCTCTGGGATCACTCAATTTTCCTTTGATATTACAAATACAATCATCTGCTCCTCGCAATGAATTGCAGGAGTTGTTTACATCAGATTGCAGATGCACATATCTGAACTATGTGCTCATTTCCCAGTTGCAGGTAGCACAAACAACCCTGTAATGGATCAAAAGCCCAGCCTCAAACAAAGCCTTGAACGTCTGGCTTTGAGTCTTATTTATTTCTGGCTGCATTTGCTGGCTGCTCTGATGCAGACAGTCTGTGATTATTGATCATGAAATCCAGTCTCATTAAAGTATTTACTGGACTTGTGAGAAGCCAACGGTAACACAAGGCGGTAATGTCTTTGTGTGAAAATGAATACAGTGAGAAGGAGGAGGACTGAGATGCCAACATCTTAATGGGGTTGTGTCAGTTTAATAGGATTCATCTGTCCGCCTGTTCCCATGTAATGCGGTTAGGTGTGTGTGAGCAGCGTGCAAGGGTGTGTTCAAAGAGTGAGAGTAGTGGCGCTGAGCAGAATAATATGGTTATATTTACTCGAAGAATTACAAACTGCCAAATACAGATGTTAGCACTTGAGTTTTACTATTTTCAGACTTCACTTGTGTGTTGGCCCCTTGTTTTTGTTAAATGTTTTAGTTGTAATAAAAGTGTTTGTGTGTGGCAGTCGTATAACTATCATAAAACAGAAGGGCCAGTGGCGCAGATATAATCCTTCGAAATTGGATTCTCAACAGATTTTACAATTGAGATAAAAGTGGAATTCTTAAGGGAGGATTAAATAAGTTCTTGGAAGGTTTATTTCACAGGCGGAATCCAAGACATTCAGTGAAATAGAGAAGTTTCAAAATCAAAGTGATCGCATTTTGGCATTAATGTTAGAATGTAAAACAGGATAACAAAGTGCCATAACGGCAGAAAAACCTGATAAACCATGTTTCCGAACTAACATACCAAAACAATATCTTCTAAAGAAATCATGTTGACCCAGAGATGTTAGATACGATGAAGGAAAGGGATCCAGTACATTATGGAGACTGTACCTGTAGTTTAATAACCATGTGTGATACACTGAATGATTTCGAGTCAATCCACGATCATACTCTGCTCTGCTAATGACCAAGGAGAAATTATCTTTCTGTGCTTGATGTTGTGTTTCATCTGTATTTCAGAGCTGCCTCCAGGATGGGAAAGGATAGAAGACCCAGTGTACGGGGTGTACTATGTAGAGTAAGTCAGCTTGTCAAAATTCTCCAAATAAAAGACCATCTTCGCACCACCATCATTTATAAGAGAGCTTTTGATGTGCTTTTATATACTTTAACTGTCTTTTTTGAAAATAATAATGTCCTTTGTTTACTCTCTCCCATGCTGTCTCAGTCATATAAACAGGAAGACCCAGTATGAGAACCCAGTGGTGGAGGCACGGCGTCAGAAGATCCTGGAGCAGCAGCAGCCGCAGCCTCCAGAAGGTGAGCGGTATATTCGAGGTTCGTTTCCTGCCCTGGCACGGCACCATTTCTTTCTTTCTTCATGTCTGTGAGTGTCATGTCCTTCTAGTTTGTCCAGTGCTCTCCAGGGTTTTGGCCAGACTGCTATCCTTCTCTCTTCTGTAACTTTACTTCAATTCCCATCAGGTCATGATAGAAAGTAAACATAGGTTTTTGGCTAAATGCTAATTTTGATTCTTATAACGAATTTACCAAAAGAGAGCTGGCCGAAGCCCTGGTGTCGTCTTTGTTGTTTAGGTTTTAATTTACGTGATTTAAATTCATAAAAGCTCTATCTCATTCTGTATTTGATCATTTAGTTTGTTTTACCATGAAAACGCTATTCAGACATTTTTTCTTTAGCCAAGAGGTTTTTAAACATTGATGCCATCTGCCCAGGGGAGAGATGTGGGGCGAATGACTTGTGAGGCGGGACAGGTGCATGCTGATGCTCTCAAAACAACAGGAAGTTATTTATTGTAGTTTGGCCCTGTGATTTGGCCTATTCATCCACACAGTCAGGAATTGAGCCTGAAGCTCAGCTCAGCAACTAAGGTACTTTAAAACACCTATCGCTGTTTTACTGTGATTTGTTTCAAAAGTAGTACTCTTTTTACTGGTCATAACTCAGACCCAAAGACATACACACATTCTCAGATTCAGTGTCAAATGCATAAAATGAGCAAAAATATGTTTTTGTCAGAATCATAATGGTAATTGTCTGTACATCCTTATGTACTTTACAAACAGGAATTGCTAATGGATAATTTGGCATCCTTCAAATGGTTACCATATGCCAAAATGTAAAAAAAAATGGGCACAAGCCACATCCACATCCATAGAAACATCAAACTTGCTGTTCACATCCTGCAATGCCATGCACTAATGGGAACTGCAGCTCCAAATTAATAGAACAACATAATTCAACTTTTTTCATGTTGCATTTTTCCATTTTTCTTTTACTCTACTAGGCTCAGATTGTCCCATCACAGTGTTTTGTACTTCTATTCATGGAATACTGACACTTTCCTCTATCCATTCATATACAGATGTTTGCCACAAGTTGAATACATCTGGACATACACTGACACTCGATTTCTTTCTAAGGAGGGGACAAAGTGTGAAAACTACTACTTTAGCCTAAGAATCAAATGTATATAGTTGTACACTGCAACATTTCACATTAAACAAGTTTCTCACATTTAATAAACAACACTAGTAGAAGCTGATGTAAATGAGGGAACTTCTCACAACTGAGGCGTAAAAATGAATCAGATGGCAAGTATGTACAATATGTGCTTAAAGCTCTGTGTGTCTATACGCGTGTGTTGCTGTTAAGTGTTTGTTTGTGCTTGGCATGTAAATACACTTTTGTGTTGAGTGTGTGTCGGTAATGTGTGTGTGATTGTGATTGTGTCTGTGCAGAGTGGATAGAGGAGCATTCCTCAGCTGATGTTCCATTAGCAAACTACGCTCCTAACCACCTGGAGACCTACAGGGACCCCCAGGGCCGGCCAAATCTACCTCCGATGCCAGGAGCCAAACGTAGGTCTTTGTTTAATAGACACTGTACATTATATTCATTCATTTAAATTATTTGATATGGATAAATACAATATACATAGAGTTGCAAGACTATTAACCTAGGCAATGTTTCGAAGCATTTATAGCTGCTGATTTACAATCCTGTCCATACTTCACTTCTACTTCATGTTTTTATATTTATTGGCAGTTTTCCAAAGATACATCATGTAGTTAAGATGAAGGTTTGTTTTTGGTTACTACATTCACATTGGAATTCCCCGTGCTTTGAAATTTCCGGGCTAGAAAATCTACTTTTGCCGATTTGTTTACAGTCTTTTGACATGACATTTGGAAATGTCTCAATTTTTTTTGAATGACTTAATGTGAAAGTGACAAAGGAGTGCAAGCAGCCCATGTCAAAATGTCTATGCATCGCCAAGCAACATTTCTAATAATCATAAAAAGCAATGCACAATTGCATAGCCTGTAACAATTTAAGTCTCATTTGAGGAATCGCTGATTGTCTCATCTTGCTAATTTGTCCACATATCAAAATTCAGACAACAACGCATGATGCTGAATTGAGAGACACAACTACTATTAATCATTGTTCAGGTATTTTGAATATAGAATCCGTAAAGGACACAAAAGTAAGAGGGTTTTTTCTTCTGCTGCTCTAAAGGAGGGAAGCTTTTCTTCACAAGAAACCCAGCAGAACTGAAAGGAATCTTCATCAACACAAAGCTGAAGAAGAGCCGTCGCGGCTTCGGCTTCACGGTGGTCGGCGGTGACGAGCCAGATGAGTTTCTACAGATCAAAAGTCTGGTGCTGGATGGGCCTGCAGCCGTGGATGGCAAAATGGAGACAGGTGCAGTACATAAGCACTATCCACGGGGGGCACTGTTTTCATTCAACACACTTCCTCCTCCACTACATCTATACATGTTCAGTCCTTCTTATGAGCCCAATCCCAGCAGCTGTATTTTAAGTGATGCACCATTTGGCCTTCAATGATATCAACTGTTGCTGTTTAATTGTACACTTTGGATAACTTGAAAAATCATGATAATAAAATCCTTCTGAGGTTGGATTTTATTTTGGACAGCAATCATTTCTTGATAGTACAGTATGAGTTTGCCACTGAAACATTCTCGTATAGTTTCAGTAAAATAAAAGTAAAACATAACTGCTATCGTAAAAGAGCAGTCATATTATTTAAGTCCTCATAATCTTTCCTTGACCTGATGAACTTTTTCCATCGAGGTCAAGTGCTTGGGGGCTCCCTAGTGGATTATTGAGCCCTGTATCCACATTTTCGATAAGACTACATCGGTAGTGCTAAAAGAAATAACCTTTAGTGCAAAACGAAAATGGAAAAAATATGTGGGAGTCAGAAGAGGAGATTTTCCAGCGGCACTTTATATTTTTACTTGTTGCTTATGGAGACATGATAGTGACATCAAATATTTGAATTTGGTGCAACTGACCTCTTGTACTTATTTAAGTGTACAGTGTATACTGTCGCTGTGTTTCTGCTGCATCAATTTGACTGTCCATCGTGAGTTATAGAACCAACAATATTATAGTGCAATACTAAAGGGCTGGATAGTATTTTAATGTTTCCCCTATTACAGATACTTTGGTGTTACACTGAATAATGGACTTTCAAAAAACTGGATTATTAAACTAAATAACACAATGTTTAAAAAACGAAAAAACTGTGAATATAGAACAGTAAATAGTTGTTATTTGTGTAAAAGCATCACTAACAGTATAATTCTCCTCTCTGCAGGCGATGTGATAGTCAGTGTGAATGACATCATTGTGCTGGGCTACACCCACGCTCAGGTGGTAAAGATCTTCCAATCCATCCCCATCGGCTCCATGGTGGACCTGGCCCTGTGTCGGGGCTACCCTCTGCCCTTTGACCCCGACGACCCCAACACCAGCCTGGTGACTTCAGTGGCCATCGTGGACAAGGAGCCTATCATTGTCAACGGACAAGAGGCGTTTGACTCGCCTTCCAACCACGGCGGACCCGTTAACGGCATGAGGGACCTGCGGTCGCACAGCCCCTCCACCGAGGTGGCGTCTAACGGCTCGCACGGCCACTCCAGCGATGTGGTCAACATGGCCTCATCGATAGCCACCCAGCCGGAGCTCATCACCATCCACATGGAGAAGGGCGACAAGGGATTCGGCTTCACAATCGCAGACAGCCTGACGGGAGGAGGGCAGAGAGTCAAGCAGATAGTGGACTACCCGCGCTGCCGTGGTCTAAAGGAGGGGGATATTTTGATGGAGGTCAACAAGAGGAACGTCCAGAATATGAGCCACAATCAGGTGGTGGACCTGCTGAGCAAATGTCCCCGAGGCAGTGAGGTCACCATGCTGGTGCAAAGAGGTATGTATTACAAATATTTGGATAAATACATGTAGATGCAGGTATACTGAAGTTGATGAAACTATGTGCAATGAAACACAGAAAATAACATACAGTAATCTGCTGAACCGACAACTGCTTGAATAGTTGGCATGCAGAGAGTGACATAATGCGAAGGCAGAGAGAAAAAGTTAGGAAGAGAGTGGGTGGCAGGTTGAAAATAATCGGACTGGATGAGATGAAACCATGAGAGGCAAAGAGACGATGGGCTGAGTTAGCATTGCTGTCGATGAGCAGATGAGTGTGGGAAGGAGTGGGAGGCTGGGTAGAGAGGCAAGATGGATGAATGAGAGGGGAGGGGGGGGGGGAGCACATTAGGTCAGGGACTCGTTTATGTTATGAATACGGATGCAGCTGAATTGGGCCTCAGAGACTTTGTCGCTATTCATGTTAGCTACCGTCATATGTTGCCCTTATGATGTTTTGATATTGGGTGTCAGTTTATTTTCTGCTCTTGTCCCACAGTAGCTGAAATTATTAAGCGACGAGTTTATAGCATGTGTCCATGAAAACGGAAAATTATTAAGTATTCACTTGAGTTGACTTATAAAGTTCATTCTTAGTATTTGCACATTATTTATGTGGATTCTTTATGTTAAATGCATATTTGTTCTGGATTTTTCAGCCCGTTCACAGCAACACTGCATCATACATTTTCCTACATAATACACTTTTAGCCTGGAATGATCCATAGATGAATGTTTTCCCATTAAATTGTCAAAACAAATTGTTTGCCGAAGTGTAAAGTATCCAGGCAGAGACTGAGTGACATTGGAGGTCCCTCATTTGTGTCCAGTCCTTATTGTTGTTAAATTACCGTCCATGCCGGGTGACCCATATCTCTATTAGTGGCGTGTCAAGATATGCACCTCACATTAATTATGCCCTCTAATGAGTTGACCCTGTGCACTGATGCTGGAATACTTAGTGCTGCTGTATTGTGTTAAATGTCAGCATTATTATGGGCCTGTGAGAATGTGAGAGAGAGGAAGTGATACGGTTGCAGGGCAGTATTCCTGCTACCAGAGCTAAGAGAAAGAGATTCAAAGAGAGCAAGAGCAAGACTGAGAGGAAATGAAGAAGAGAATAATTGAGTAGAAGGCTACAGGCAGTCACTGGGGCAAGCAGGGCGACTGACAGCAGCGTAGATCATCTCTGTTAGGCTTTGACACCAGCCTGTCATTATTAGTGAGACGCTACTGTAGGTGATGAGGCGCAGAAACTGAACACCCACGCAGGTAGCCAGGGGGGTGGGATTGAGATTAATTAAGCTTCCGTTCAATAGTTAGAGGTATTGCATGAAGTTGAAGGAATGGTGCAAACAATACTAATACTACTATTGACACAATTATTTGTTCATTTTACAAAAAAAGCCAATATACTGTAGCACTGTATTCAAACAAGATTGTCGGACTTCTGCAAAGAAGTAAACCTTTTTTTCATTGTAAGTCTACAAATTAATCACAAAATATAACATTCCTTGATCAATCTAAAAACGAATTGCAAACATAATTTATAAATACACACCACGCATATTGTGAAATGCAATGACATGCGATAAACTTTACAATCGTAGTGTAAAAACACCTTTGGTCGAACAGGCAACATGTGAAACTCCCTCGTCCCAGCTTCTCACATGTGAGGGTTTCCATCTTTTCCCTTTTCTAATATAATTGCATATTTAATATTTTTGGGTTTTACATCAAAACAAGCAACTTGTAGGCACCACCTTGGGTTTTGCGAAATTCTGGGCATTTTCTAGACAAAACAACTAATGTGATTAATTAAACACATAGATCACATATTAATCAACAGAAACAATCATTAGTTGCAGCCTTCTCAAAAATATAATAACGTTTTTTTGGGGCTGATTTGTGACTCGTCTGAGAATGATGCGCTAACATTTCAAGTGATCGCTACCAGCTAGCACATAATCATTCACAAATAACAATTATGGGAGCTAAGAGGAGCAGGGTAAGGCAGATAAGAAAAGAAAGCCGAGGAAGGCCAGGGATCATGTTTTGAGAAAGTGGAGGAGGAGGATTAGGGGAGAGAGTGTGAGATTTGCTGAACAGCACTGAAAGTTCAGCAAGGGAAGCGTGTATGAGGGGATTGGTATAAAAAATATATATATAGGCGGAGGAGAGGAGGAGGCACAAGGTGGACCTCAGCTGGAAGAGAAGAAGCCTTAAACTGTTTATCTGTGACTCATCAATACGTGCTGGCTGACTTAGATTTTTATAGAGGGCACAAAGCGCAAGGTCAAACAAACACATCATCACACAATGAAAATGTTATTTTATGTTTCAAGAACAAAGTTTGTATTTAAAAGTTGTGTATGATAATTCGCAGTAGCTCGGGATGTGTCACAGAAGTTCCATTTATACAAAAGATTATGAATCCTTATAGCTTTGGCAAAATGTACTCTATCATTGGATGTGCACGACAAAGAGACAAAAACATCTCTTGCAACGCTACACCAGTTCAGCAGTTTATCCCAGGAGGCAGCATCGCTATGAACTCAACAGTGCCAAGGTAGTTTGCTTGTGGCAAATCTCAGATAGATGCACAGCGAGTTCAAAAGCCTCACAAGTAAAAAAGGTGTTTTGTCACAGCATCTTGCCATTACCTTAATGCTCCCCTGCGATGGCATCAGAAAGGAACGGAGACACATTTTGGTCTCTGGATTTCCCAACAAGTGGTCTCTCTAGTTTCAACTGAGTGGTCGTTGAACAGCTTTAAGAGAAGAGACTGGCAACATGTTATTATTGCAATGGAAAAAGACGAGAGGTGGACATTCTTCATGGTCTAATTACACACTGTAAGCAGTAGTATGGGCAAATCTCCACCTGTTAAAATAATCTATTATGACCATAAACCTTTCTAGTCTGAAAAATGTTCATAATCCAATACGATTTCAAAGATAACATCTAGTGTTTTCACACACAGTGCCAGCTTTGAGTCCTCCATCTTGTCTTCCCACCGCTGTTGCCATGACAATCGTGCACAGCGCTCCTGTCCCCTGAGAGACAGAGAGAAAGAAGAGGGAAATTTAGAGGGGGGGGGGGGGGGATATAAAATGTTGGGGAAAAGAACGGAGAGGAATGTAATATAATGATGACAGACAATGAGGAAGAGCGACACAATATCATTTAGAGTGGAGGAAGAAAAGGGATGTGTTTATAAGTTGTAAAGCAAGGCTAAACGTTTACAGATTTGGCTCAACAAAAGACTACCAGTTGACCGCCAGTTGATGGTCACTGCTGTACACCCTTAAACAACAATGTATACAGTGTTTAGAGAACCTGGAGGAAGGACCAAACACACAGCCTTTCCACACACACACCACTTCAGGGGACATTACATTGACTTACATGCATTTCCTGGAGACTTATCCTAACCTTAACCAACACATGCCTAACCTTAACCCTAAACCTAACCAAGTCTTCACCCTAACATTAATGATTCCCCTCAAGGGGACCTCCAATTTGTCCCCATAAGGGAGGCGAGTCCCCACACGTGACTGTGTAAACAGATTTAGGTCCCCACAAGTACAGTAATGCTCACACACACACACACACACACACACACACACACACACACACACACACACACACACACACACACACACACACACACACACACACACACACACACACACACACACACACACACACACACACACACACACACACACACACACACACACACACACACACACACACACACACACACACACACACACACACACACACACACACACACACACACACACACACACACACACACACACACACACACACACACACACACACACACACACACACACACACACACACACACACACACACACACACACACACACACACACACACACACACACACACACACACACACACACACACACACACACACACACACACACACACACACACACACACATTTTACTGAATATGTGCTCTTTCGTTGCTTCTGTTGGCATGTGTGGTTTCTCAATAAAAATAAATGTGACAAGGACATGTTTTAAAGGCTGATCCAAAGATAAAGGTGTGAGCAGGGTCTTAAGTTAAGTATTTTCCTCCCTTGCAACTATAGCAAGTTACCAATCGTCTCCACTATATAGTGTTCTCTGCAAATACTGAAATCATGTGAATGTTTCGAGTGAATGATACCCTCAAGATGTGCCATAACAATGTCATTGTATATCGCCAATACCGTTTAAAAAGGTCCCATGTCTTGGCAATTTCTACTGATCATAATTCCATTGTTGAGGTCTACTAGAATAGATGTACATTGTTCAATGTTCCAAAATCACATTGGTTTTCTCATACAGCATCTCTGTATAGTATGTGTATTCACTCTCTGTCGGCTTGTTGGAGCTCCTGCCCCCCCCTCCCTATGAGCCCACTGTGCTCTGATTGGTCAGCCCGCCCACTCTGTTCTGATAGTCAACCACCGTTACAGCGGAACATCAGTGATTATGTGTTACAATGGCGTTTGTTAGCAACCAGAAAATGACACCAGTAATGACAAACAGATGAGAATGCTGCGTGGGGTCTGGGTGCCGTGTTGGCGGGACGTTTTGGGGTGCTCGCGTTTTGGGGTACTCGCGGAGCGGACAGTGTGAGGTGGATTACTGGTATCGTTTCCTGGTTGCTGCGTGGGGTCTGAGCTCCGCGGACCTATTGGTCCATTTGGACTTAGTGACGTCAACCTGCCCCAAAAAATGGAAAAAGAAAAATCTCCAACGAGGCATTCTGGGGCAGCATGGACAGGTATTTTCTGTGTTAGAGTTTTACTCGCTACAGGGTGTACTTTGAGGGTTTGTGACTTTGCAGACCGTTTACATGCAGACAAAGCTACATAACACACAAGGGGATGGGTAATAACCGGAAAAGCATGTCATGGGACCTTTAAAAAAACAAAAAAACATGTAGTATCAAAGTATAGTATACCAAAAATCCTAGTATAGTATGCCAGAAAAAAAGTAATTGCATGCTATTAAAAATGTCATAATAGTATTCCATAGTAAATCATAAAAGTCAAGCTTGTCGCACAAATGATAAACCTTTTGAGCAAACACACTACTCGGCATGTGCTCAAATTGCCAATTGATCATATTAACAATGTTTGTTTGAGGCTCTACATCAGATATTGTTACTCAGCTAACAATAGCTGTACTTCACTGTCTACTGTAAAATAAGTAAAGGAAGCAGCCTCCTCCACACTAATGCTAAGAGCTAGATTGGGTCACAAAACAACTGACGGCACTCACTTTCACTTCTAATTTGTTTACTTCCTCTCTCATTTGAATGATGATGGACACAGTCTTAGTCAGTCTGGTAGACTTTCCTCAGTAATAATACAATCAGTCCTTTTTAACCGGTGTTGCATTCTCAGTAATCAAGTCATAAATGGAGAGCGTTTTGTTTCTCTCATTCAGAAGCTTCAGCAGAGTAGAAAATATAAGGATTACGGCTCACAATGTAAATGCTATGTGCGTGCCTTCATGCTCACTGATGCCTGTCCTCCGTGCATAAATAAATGCTCACTTTCGTATACCTGCCTGTGCTTTTACTACATGTATAGCATGCATGCATTCATGGATGCTTCTACACCGTTGCGTGTGTGCAGGATCATGCAATTCCCATATTTCTTTCACCGAGCATCAGCTGCTCATAAATGTTACATTCAGCCTTACACATATGCATCCGCCTCACAATGCCAGAGAAACTTAAGCAGATTTAAAAACTGCATCATGCATAAGGATGCGTTCACGTCTAGCGGCATGTAAATCAGATGTTCCAGCTGACACTGCTCCAGTGGATGCAGAGTTGGGGTCAAGCTACGTCACTTGAAAAATCTGTATTCCCCTTAAGTTTCATGCCGTAATTTATCAACCATATGGTCAAGTTAAATTCAATGTATATGTTTGATGCTAATCATGTTGACCTCAGTGCCAATTTGAAGACTTTCAGAGGTTGTTTCAAAGTGAAAGGCGTGGTGAAATCAAGAGATCCTTGTCTTATATGCTGCTGTTGTAGTTTGAAACACGTATTACCTTTGTGTGTGTCCTATCTGGATCACATGTAAACATTCATCAGAACGTCAGCAGCTGAGATGTTCCACTTCCTCCAGTAACTGGCACCCCATAATCTAAGGGATAGAGACAGAGAAGGAGGGAAAATAGGGAGGATAAATTATGAATTGTGTAGAGCGAGGGGCTTTGCAGCAACAGAGAGTTTTAACATTTAATGATTTTGTTGCCAATGCAGCAGAAAGAGCCTAAGATGGATGCTTGCATGTTGTTGCATGTGTTAATGTTGCTCCATCAATACTTCCAGTAGGGTTTTCTCTGTGCCTGTTTGGTGTCAGATGTTGCAGGAATGAATATGTTTTAATATGTGTGCCCCTGCTGCTCACACCTCATATTTAACAAAGTAGACGCATGCCACTGCATACAGAACTACTTGATTGCCTTGGCAACCGCAACTCTTTGTCCCAATGTCGTTCATTTGTCTATTTCTGTCCCAACATACTTTGGTGTAGTAAGTGTCAGGAAATAGAGCATCGGGAAGGGAAATTATTTTTCTTGGTGTGTTGCGATCAGGTGGAGACCATATAGGTTTGTGTTGAGATTAGAAACCTACATGTTGAATTAATTGTTTGGCTGTGATGGATGTGAAAAGAACCCCTGTTTAATTGGGAGTGTATATGATTCCCTACACTTGTATGCTGTAAATCCTCTCCCCTGACAACTGGCTCCAAGTATTAATATTTCATTAGCACAAATGAGATTGATCTTCTTGGTGACTCTACAGTATGTTAACTGGTATAAAGAAGATAGAGAGATAGAGACAGATAAGAGGGAGAGAGAGAGTCATGGTGCACGAAAGAAGAGGAGGGGGAGGGAGAAAAAAGAAGGCAGAGAGAAGTTCAGCTTCTCGATGTAAGCCTTGAGCAAAGAAGAGGAGCGGAGAAGAGAGGAAACAGCTCTGTAGTTACGATGTGCATAATAAGGCAGAAGCTCATGCTTTCCTTTGATATGATGCTCAAGCTATTGAGCTTCTTGTCAGTGGGTAATAGTTGAGATTCTGCTGGAGAGCTCGTGCTGGAGAGACACCTGGGAAGTAGACTGGATGGAGGCTGTGGGGGCGTGGATCTGTTGATGCTTGTGGAGACCTGTAGCTTTGACCAGCATTTGAGGGCTGCTGCAGCATAAGTCAGCCTGTCTAATGCAGATAGATCAGTTGCTCCTCTTCTAATAGCACGGGTGAGAGCGCAGAGTGGAGCGGGATACAGCACAGGGGAGGAGATCACTTAGATTAGCGAGCAGCCTAGCGCAGTGTGTTGCTCAGAGAGAAAGGCAACACAGAGGAGGAAGAGCAGGAGAGCAAGTCGGGCCAGCTGTGCTCTGCAGGAACCAGGGTCCATCCGTTTGTTTTGGAGAGTTTTTTTTTTTTTTTTTTTTAATCACAGGGGACAAGGGAAGAACCAACAGGTCATTCATGCTCTCTCTGTCTCTCTGCCGATGTTTTGCAGGAGTGGTGCCAGCCAAGCGTAGTCCAAAGCTGGTGGTAAGTACTACATTCTTCTTTTGTGTGTGTGTGTGTGTGTGTGTGTGTGTGTGTGTGTGTGTGTGTGTGTGTGTGTGTGTGTGTGTGTGTGTGTCCTAGCATTACTGTACTTGTGGGGACCTAAATCTGTTTACACAGTCACGTGTGGGGACTCGCCTCCCTTATGGGGACAAATTGGAGGTCCCCATGAGGGGAATCATTAATTTTAGGGTGAAGACTTGGTTAGGTTTAAGGTAAGGGTTAGGGTTAGGCATGTGTTGGTTAAGGTTAGGATAAGTCTCCAGGAAATGCATGTGTGTGTGTGTGTGTGTGTGTGTGTGTGTGTGTGTGTGTGTGTGTGTGTGTGTGTGTGTGTGTGTGTGTGTGTGTGTGTGTGTGTGTGTGTGTGGTGTCCTTCCTCCAGGTTCTCTAAACACTGTATACATTGTTGTTTAAGGGTGTACAGCAGTGACCATCGACTGGCGGTCAACTGGTAGTCTTTTGTTGAGCCAAATCTGTAAACGTTTAGCCTTGCTTTACAACTTATAAACACATCCCTTTTCTTCCTCCACTCTAAATGATCAGTTATACTGAGTGAAAGGAGAGCTATTTAAAGAACAACAGACATATTTGACTCTTTACTCTATAGGCTTGTCACTTTGAATTGTTGTATTGTTTTCATCCCTATGCTTTTCTTGCCTCTGTTGTCATTTCTCTTTACACCCCCCCCCCCCCATTCCTACCATGCTGCCATCCTGTGACTGATTAAGCATAGCCTAGGCTGAACAGTGTAACAGTGACCAGCTGTTTTGGAGGGCAGCAAAGACAGGAAAAACGGGTTGTGGATGAGGGAGGGGAAGAGCCGTGGGGATATGGTTTGTCCCACAACAGTGAATCACTGTGATAGCCCACAGATACAGAGTACTCACTGAGACAGAAAAGGAGAGAAGGGGACAATGACGGCAGAGTGAGCTGGAAGCAAAGCAGAGGCAGATTTGGGAAGCTGGAGGAGAGATTGCAACAGATTGCAATTTGACCATAGTTGTGACGGATAAGAGAGGACGGGGAAAGAGTCAGGAAGACCAGTTCTAGGAGCAGCTTCAGGGTCTCTTAAGGGACAGTGCAGTTATTCAGGAGTTTAAAATAGCACACGCCTCTTCGTTTTTACGACTCTTCTCAACCTGATAAAAAAATCAATTCAAGAGCTGAAGAGACGCCAGTGCAGCTTTAAATGACTGTCACCCTAATTCACCCCTGGAGAGCCAGCGAGTTATAGTAGAAGGTCGTTTTCTTTGGACAAGTCTCAGCGAAGGTCAGTGATTGGTTCAATTCCCACAACTTGAGTAGAAGAAAACCTTGAATGGTGTCTCTTGATGAAAAGCACCTCAGCTGGCTGGATATTAGCATTAGGATTATTTTGAAATTGTATCAGTCAGGACAGTGGGTGTTACCTATTCAGGTCACATGTCACGGGGGATGGAGGATGGAAGAGGGGTGGGGGCAGTAAGAGGGTTGAGTGGATCCAATAGTAGCACTGCCTGGCTGTCACTTTGGATTAGCTTCCCAGTGAGGAAAAAGCCAGTTTCCCCCTCTCTGTGTTATGTCAGGGAAATGTCACGCTGCATGCGGCTTCGTGTCAGCCCAGAACAACCATTTTGCCTCCAGTTCAGATTTCTAAATAAATGCTCACTGTAAACTCCCATATGCAAGAGAGACTTTGCTGTCTCAACCCATTAGGAAGTCACCAGATCAGACGAGAAGTCAATTTTGCATGGCTGTTGTCCTCATTAAGAAGCATTACTGGATTATTTGACCCACCGTCTCATACAGTGTGATGATTGAGAGACTGTGCCATGACTTCACCATTTCATGCACAGGTTTATTATTCATACCAGATCAAAAATGATACAGTTGTCATATTGGGGCTTGTCAGTAATTGCATTTCCCCAGTAAGGAACATTTTTCATAAAGCTGTAGAGTACTTTGTAATGTGCATCTGCAAGTAATAATGTGGTAATATGTTTATTCTCTGGTTGCAGAATCAGAATGCAAAGATTACAAAAACACTAGGGTGTCTTCAACCACAACAGCAGGCCCCTAAAAGCAGGCCTCTAAGCTGGTTTTAGACAAAAAACTGCCATATGATAAAGCAATGCAAGAGGCTTTGTGTTGGCGGCGTGTTGCTTCATGACACAATAAAAAACGTATTAGGAATTCAAGTTTGAGCAAGAGATCTGAATGCTTATTAGACGCCAAAATGCTGCACAACAGGAAAGACATTTATATTTACTCCGACTGAATAAGGCTGCAATTCACACGAAAAGCTCAGCTCAGTATAAATGCAAATATGCAAAAGGAAAACAGAATAATGTAATCATTAAATGTTGTATTCCACTGTAAAAAAGGCAGATAGTTTTAAGACATTTTAATCTCACTGAGTAGCAACGAAGTGTTCACAATACCCATCTCCTTAGCAGCTGTTGAGATTTTTACACATTCAACTGTTTCAAAACCAACCTTGGTTTAATACACATGTTTCAACGCTAAGGACTTACAGACAGTGAATCATTTGATTCCCAAAACTAGTCTTCTTTGTTAATTGAAATACCTAAACATATAAATCTGTCTTTTTCTCGCAACCATGGAAACCAACCAAGTAATTTCTCCTCCCTCCAAGAGTGAGAGAAATTCTACTGCAATGTGTTAAAAAGATGACCTTGGATGCTTTTTCTTTGTCCTCCATCAACATTTTTTCTCACTCGTCTCCTTCCCTTTTATATCTCGCCCTTGTCATTTCTCACTCAATTATTTTCTCCTCTTTCTGCCCTCTACCTCCATTTTCTGCATACATCCACCCCCGAACCTTACACACATACACCTCTCACTCTGTTTTCTGTCCACCCAGCACCAGCTAGAGAGGAAAGACAGCCAGAGCAGCTCCCAGCACAGTGTGTGCAGCCATCGCAGCGCCCACACCGATTCTCCAGGCCACCCACCCTCTGCCATGCCCAGTGAGGCTGTGGTTCCCACTCCAGCGGCCCCCACCCAGCCTCTGCCAGGCCTGCCCCCTCAGGACCCCGCAGATGGCACCCTCACCCTCCAGAAGAAGCCAGACCCCTTTAAAATCTGGGCGCAGTCCAGGAGCATGTACGAGAGCCGACGTGAGTAGAATCCAATTCTGATTTTTGAAAGGTTTGCTGACTTTGTAGTTTAAAAGCTCAGCGAAGTTTATCCTCTAGCGACATTACAGACCTTTTAACCTTCTATAAGTGTGAATATAGATTAACTGGCAGGAGATGTTAAAGGGATCAGTTTCAAGAAAAAGCTATCAATTGTGTAATGACCTGCCTAAAGAGCTGAAGCTAATACCACACAGTTTCTTTCAAGATATGCTTTTATGTAAGGATTTAAAAAATAACTTTTGCCAAAGTGTTGGATAAGAAGTAAGATACATATAACTATCGTATTTCAACTGTATATATGAAAACTAAAGCGAGCAGCATGTTAACTTAGCATAAAAAGTGAAACCAGAGGAAAACTGACCCTAACCCTGCCTTCAGTCTGCCAACCAGACTCTGGTAAAAAAAAACTCAATCTGCCATAACAGGACTGTTGGTGCAGACTATTTCTGGCTGTAAAGCTACTGGTGGGAGGGTGTTGTTGTCTTCAGACTAAGCTTTTTTGTCCTGTTACCTTAGCAGCGATACGTTGAATTGGTATTGATCCTCTTATCAACTCTCTTCAAAGATGGTTAAAATGTTGATTTATTCCTCATCTTTTGCATTTTTTCTGGTCTTTGCCATGTGTACTGTTGTTATTTTCTTCTGCCTTTTTATTAAGGTATCTTTTAAATGACTGAGTTAAGCACTGTTAATGGTTACTGTATGATTTTCAGATTGGATATGGAGGTCAGGAAAATACGATTAAACAGATAATTGCAGTGAGGAAACTTTAAAAAGTATAATGTTCATTGATTGGATGAACCTTTTTGATTTTAAAAGATTGAAGAGACTTTAATTGAGGTGGTTGTGCTTGGAGTGCTAAAACAATTGTGGAGAAGATGCACGGACTAAAAGAATCACAGCTGTGTATACATTGTGACCACCACAGGGCACATCTCTGCCTTTGTGTGTTTGTGTGCCCTTTTTGTTTACTAAACAATTGTGTGCTTACTGAGTCACAACTGATCGTGTGACAAAAGGTGCCTCCAAGAGAAAAGGGTCCTTGAAAACACACAAGTGCTTGCATGTGTGTCATACTGGCTTTCTCTCGACTGAAAATAATAGTCACGTTAAAAAACCCAGTAAAGGGACAAGACACACTTTACCTTTTTTAAATGCACATAGACAAACGGATCACATTTACATTATCAGCAGCCAAAAAGCTTGTCTTGTGCCCTTTTTAGTCTCTAGAAAAACAGAATATCCAAAACTGGGACACTAGAAAGTAGGCAGCCTCTCTGTAAGAATCCTCAATATAATTTGCAGTCATGGCCTACTCCTGCATTATTCATAGGGAAACACTGTAAGGGTATCAAACCACTTATTTTCTCTTTCTGAGAGACGAGCGTAGGAGAAAGAGGAAGGATCTTCCCAAATAACGGGTTCACCGACTGTTCTGAATTACATCTTTCAGATCCCCTGTACTTGTACCTGTAGTGATATTTCAAAAAAGGATACAAGGTCTGTTTAGGATACATCTCTGTGTTTCCAAAAACACAAAAAAATATATCTTTGTGTTGATGTCTATAGTAGGTGTGCTGTGTTAGCACATCGTGATTGTTGCCGTCACTTTGCAGTGTTGGTTAACAATCATGGCTGCCTGTAGAATCTAGGACTGCTGCTGATTAAATATTAACTGGGCCCACAGAGGGCTGCTTTAAGCTGCGGCTGATTGGTGTATCTGTTTGATAACCCCTGAAGGAGCTGTAGCCCCTTTCTGAGTCGGCGGGGGAGACGCTGTAAAACAAGAAAGGGAGAAGGAGACAAAGAACGACAGAGAGGCTCAAATTCTCTGTCTGTATTTCCATGTGCATGCTGCCACATACACGTACAATAGTGATTTATGATTCCATGCATCCATTGAGTGCAAATGTCAAGAAATATTTCAGTGCCAGTACAATGTGACTGAAAGGTGAGCTTTGGGAAATTCTGCTTGCCATGTCATCGGTCGCTTGATTTGGCAGAAAGCTGCACTGTCAGTTTGCACTTTGTTCACTACTTAACAGTTGAGGGTTATTTAATGTACTGTAAGCTTAACTGTAGCAGTTAAATCCACACACAGTTTTCAGGGGAACTGGAGAGCTGAAGCTAATGCATTCTCTACTGGCCTTGCGTGGCAGCCGTGTCGACAGCAGGAAGGAACGGTCGGTGCCTCCTGTGCCGAATGGCCCTGTGGGTTGAACAGACAGACACCAAATTGCCTGTGTCCTCCGCCACAGTCTGCTCTGTCCACAGTGAGATGCAAATGCACTGGGGGGTTATGCATGTAAGAGCGTTTGATGGTGAAAAGGAGAGAAATTGGTTAAAGTGAAGCTCCTTATCCATGTGTTTAATAAAGGTTCAGTTATACATTTGGGTTAATAATAGGGATCGCTATTGAGTGTGTTTTCAGAGTGCAGGCCGTGAGTATTATGAGTTCACAGCATGAGACCTTGCAGCCTAATTTGGGGTCTATAAATGCGAGCAGGAGTTTTATCTGTGTTGTGTTGAGGCGAGGGAAGGAGCAGCTGTTGACCCTGCCTGCTCTCATTCTGACGCTAATAGAAAAACAAACACCTTGTTGATCAGCGATAACACAACTGGATGGACACAAAATGAGAGGCAAAACATATTGATTTAGAGCAACAAGCATTAGTGATTAGCCTACATAGATGCTAATCAGTCAACGATGAGCAGAAGCAGCAGGTCTTTGGCAGATTTGGTGGTTGAACTCCATGGGGTCCCAATGCCCATAACTGTTGGTCTTGTGTATTTCAGTGCCAGATTGCCAGGAGCAGGACATTTTCCTTTGGCGGAAAGACACAGGCTTCGGCTTCCGTATCCTGGGAGGAAATGAGCCCGGAGAGCCTGTAAGTATCCCCTCCACTTGACCATTAATGGTTTAAACAAGAGCTGAAGATTAAAAATGTTTCAAATGTACACACACTCATACACCCCATCCTCAATATTGCTGATCATTAATTATAAATATCTCTTTAGCTTTGTATGCTTCCTATTTCTATAAGAGGTTCCCTGCTTCGTTGGTTTTCTCCCCTTCCTCCTTTTTATGTGCCGAGTCTGCCTTCAAACCACAGCAGCAGAAAGTCCTTTCTCTCTGTCTAACTGGAGCTCGCTCTCTTGAGGATCATACAGACAGCTTGTTAGGAGAAGCAAAGGCCTTACCCACAATCCCTCTGGTTGTGCGCCATATATTTGTCTTAAAGGAGCAACTAAGAGGGAAACAGGAAGGCAGATATTGAGGAAGAGAGGGAAATAAAATGACAGCAGGCTTCAAGACCCCACAGGAGTTAGTACTTGTTGTTAGTGCCAAAAGGTGTTGCATGGTAGTTATGTGCTTGTTTCTGTCAGAGCCTGTGTTCACGCCCACACAGGCTTCTCCATGGTCCCAAAAGGCTGCTTTGGCCTTCTTTGATTCTCTGTCAGTTACAAATACCTTGAAGTAAGACTCAGAAACGCTGCTGGGTTTAACTGACTAATTTAAAATCAGAAGAAGATAAGTTACATCAAATCAATTGAATTAACTGCAGCATAATGACTCTTAATAATCATAACCATGGATCAGTACCATAATTATAAAAGCTCCTTGATTCACACCACTGTCAAAAAGAATTGCAAAAACATGTATCAGAGGATATCAATGTTTTTGGTTTTAAATGCATGACCCTAGTGTGTTTTCTCTAAATATTTTCTCCCATCCCATATTGGTTATTTGTTTGAACCTACAGTGACCCATATTCACCTTATAGACAACATGAATTACGTTGTTACTTAGCAAAACTAAGAAATCCTTCACAATATGCATTGCGTGTGTTTTCCTCTTCCAGATCTACATAGGGCACATAGTGAAGTACGGGGCAGCAGATGAGGACGGGCGCCTGCGGTCGGGGGACGAGCTCATCTGTGTGGACGGCACGGCGGTGGTGGGCAAGTCTCACCAGCTCGTGGTACAGCTGATGCAGCAAGCCGCCAAACAGGGCCATGTCAACCTCACTGTCAGACGCAAGTCACAGGGATTTGGAGGTGATGAGAGTTTAACATAGAGCAATGTTTAATCATACCTGTAGCATGCAGGCTCACATGCATATTATGTAGCCATCAGGATGCACAACAAGGGGTCAACAATGTGACACTATTACTGGACATAAAATACACATTGTTTTCACACACACACGTAAATAATATGTACACATGACCAAATATGTATACATTTTAATTTATTTATTATCTTATAGTTATGTTATCATTTAATTGTTATCTTTGATTTTATCCTTCATTTTATTAATCTGTGTGAATCTGTGCTATCCTGTTTTTCAATGTTACCCTGTTGCTGTTAAACTACTGAATTTCCCCACGGGGATTAATAAATGTCCATCTTATCTTATCTTATCTATAAACATAAAGACACTGCTTCCTCTGCTTACAGAACAAGATTTCTGACATAAATACGTTAATGAAGTGTTCAAGTAATACTTTTCTAACTAGTTGGATTTCTTCCCCCCCCATCCCCAGTGTCAAAAGGGGAAGGTGAAGTTCCCCCGTCGCCGGCCTCCTCCCACCACAGCAGCACCCAAGCACCCAGCCTGACGGAGGGCAAGCGGACCCCCCAGGGGAGCCAGAACTCTCTGAACACCGTCAGCTCTGGCAGCGGATCCACCAGCGGCATAGGCAGCGGGGGTGGAGGGGGCAGCGGGAGTGCGGTGGTACCTGCCTCCCTGCAGCCGTATGACGTGGAGATCCAGCGCGGAGAGAACGAGGGCTTCGGTTTTGTCATAGTCTCGTCTGTTTCCAGGCCCGATGCCGGCACCACATTCGGTAAGTGAGACACGCTGAGCTGGAGCTAATTAAGATTGACAGCGACTTGAATTAAGTTTGACATTCAAATTAATTTTGTTTACTATAGCCAGACAATTTAGACTTTGATCCGACTCAACGATTAGATTGTTTGGGCATTTGTAATATGTATTGGTGCACGTTACGTGAAAAGAGTTTTTCTGAAGATCCTTATTTCTGTCTGTGATGAATTTACTCTCAGACTGTGAGCAGCATGAACAAACAACTATAAAGCAGCAATATCCCTTAGGGTTCTATAAAGCAATATCAAAAATACTTTCAAACTTTAAATGTCTTAAACTATACCCCTGCAGTGTTTTGCAGAGTGCGCCAAGATCATTCAGAATGTTTTTAATAACACATAGAATGCAACTAAACATCCATTTCACAATTGCACTGTCAAAAGTATGAAAGTAAGAGAGTAGACCAGTACAGATGATATACATTTTATCATTATATTATCTTTTCAGTACTTCCATGCAGTTTATTTACAAATAAATAAATAACTCAACCTTAATCAATCAAATCAGAAAACCATTTAAGATGACAGATTATTAAATTAAAATGTATTTTTGGCTGGAAAAGAACACTTAACTATTGTGAGGATGCGCTTCCGAAAAATCACACTTTTACAGTATAGGTGCTAATGTCTCCTGACAATCAGATACCAAATATCCAATAACATAAGACAAGGGAGATAAAATAGTCTTTGATTTCACTCAATTCAATTTAAGATGTTTTCCCTTTTTAAATCAAACCAAATTCAATGCTTTCTGAGCCTTTTGTAGACATGCAGAACATGAAGAATTGTATCTCCAGAGTCAGAGCATGAACAGCCTTATGCAAAGCTATAGCAAAGAAACATGTCCACAAGTATATGAACCACTGAGTGAAATGATTGATGCCATCTTGTGGCAGAACCACAATATTAAAAATAAATTGAATTTACTCCAGTTTATTAATAGCAGGCAACTGGCATGTGACAGGAGTGAGCTTAATGCCACAGACCGAGATCACAAACCTACTATGATGAGCTTAGGGATAAAGAAATCTCCTCATGTGTGGAACACGCTCCCTCAGGATCAGGCCGGCTGCAGCTTTATCAAAACACCATCATCACAGACTCATGCCTCACAGCTGCCCTCACCGATTCATTCAGCATCTAATAGAAGTCTACTCAGCACACTCCGTAGCTGTCTATACCATTTACGCGTCACAATAAAACAACAGAAATAAAGTTGGTCAGGAATTGATGAGGAATTGCAGATGTCCTCCTGAAATTTTTTTGGTATTAACCTCTGAATGATGAATGTCCGATAGCAATGTCATGCCCTAGTAAGCCATTATGATGATGTACTGTGGTGTGTCAGAAGCAAATCGCAAGAATGGATGAGACGTTAGCAACACTGACTGCCCAGAGAAAAATCATTGATCCCATGGGCTAATGTTGTTACTCTGCAAAATGCAAGACTTAATATGTTATTTATAGTGACACCAGAGAGAGTGCAAGTCAACAACCTTGTCTAAACGTCTTCTAGTCCTTATGAGATTCCAGTTTTTGCTTTTGCTTCACTGCACTCCCATGCTCCATCACTATTTCTCTTGGGACGATGAGATGAATGGATTAAGGGCTTTCATGTGCTGATCTTGGATCTCTCTATAGCATCCTGCACACACTCTCCTAATGGGTTCAAACCAACTCGAGCTGAAATCTGACAGAGGAATGTGTATTACTAAAAAAAAACACAACATGGCTCTGAAGATTCTTCCATCATGATTTGTCAGTCTCAAGATGAACACAGCAGTTTCAGCTGGTTCAATCTCCCCTAGATCATGGATACATAAACCATTTTTCTCCCAGTCCAGCAGGGCCCATCCCCCCTGATCCCTTCCTGCTATGACCTGGGGTTGGGGTTGTGTTTAGCAGATTGAGCATTAAATCCTGGCTACTTGGCACACCCTGCAATGTCCCACATCTCATTATTTAGATAGAGTGACAGGATACAAACGCATTTTTCAATCAAGACTGAGGGGAGGGTAGCTGCAAACTGAGGTGATGTAATAAATATGGATGATGCAAAGATTCTGGATGGAAGATGGGAGCACAGGGAGGAGCAGAGATAACGGGAGAGAGAGAAGAACTGGAGATCCTGAGGGACTGTTCAGACCTGTGTAAACAAGATGTGCAGTATTGAACACGGTCACTCAGGTGCAGATGTATTTCTTGCAATTGACCACATGACTAGCGCCATATGTGAGCTATAGGCTGCACATCTCACATCAGAGTTAATCCTGGGGAATCTTCATCATTTTTTTTGAGCTGGTTAAGATGCCACAGCTCAATAACCTGAACAGCTCCACTGCAGCAGCAATTGTGTGCGTATTGATCCCTGGCGGGGAGGTGTAGTCATGATGCTGCGACCAGTGTATTGATACAGTAGGCTGTCTAGCTTTAGCCATCATGGACCCTGACTTATGATAATACGGGCAGAAGAGAGATCCTGAATTTTCCCACTGAGCCAATGAATTTGTATATGACATACAGTTGTATCCCGCCTTTCTATGGGATCTAGTTTTCCGCATGAGTACTGATCCTTCATGTTTTCTGAGACTGAATTGGATCGTGGTGATTTGGATAATTAACTTTTACGTTTGTCTCTCTCTCCTTGTTTTCTTTCTGTCTTTTCCTTTTTTCTGAAATCAATACAACCAATAAACACAATCAATCAAATCATCATCACACACTCTTTCTAACACAAACAACTTACACGCAAACAAACATGCATGTTTACATAAAAGCTGGAAATGCTTGTGTGGCCATGCCCCACAAAATAGGACGCATAATCGAGGGCAGCCCGGCAGACCGCTGTGGGAAGCTGAAAGTCGGGGACCGGATATTGTCTGTGAACTGCTGCTCCATCACCAACAAGTCACACTCGGACATCGTCAACCTGATCAAGGAAGCCGGACACACAGTGTCGCTCAGGATCATTCCGGGTGATGGTAAGGCTTTTGGCTTCTAGCCTCACATGGCTGTTCCATAATGCAGCATGATGTGACTTATTCATGTTAGTAGTGGGAAGGAAAGGGCACCGCTGCTTTTCACAGGCAAGAGCACTTTTCATCAGGGTGTGAACCCTGGTATCTGGGAGAGTGAGTCATAGAGTAGGAGGAAGGTGAAGTTGCCCCCAGAAACAACTGAAGCACATCTACAAGTCTTCTCTATATTCATGCTTTTTGTTTTATTGACTTCACTGCTGCAATATTTTGTCAGTATGAAAAGACTTAAGCACTGCTCAAACGTCATCAAGGGCTTCCTGTATATGTCAATATATTTAGCTTAGGAAAGTCAATAGAACTGCATAATATCAGAATCAGCAAGCAAGCTCAATATGTTGTGTAAAATCTGTCTAGTGCTGTAACAAGTGTCAGGGTGCTTGTTACTGGCTTTGCCACTATTCTATCATTGAAAACTCTTGAGAGGCGCTGCACTGTAATAGCCTCCACAGACACAGAAAGTGAAGCTCAATTAAGACCGGAGTGAGAGACATGTGAACAAACTCCCCCGCACACATGTTCACTAACTTGCTTGTGTGTGCTCATGCAGGATGCGATGTATCCTAATAGAAAACATGGTATGGCCAAGTACAATGTGAAAGATGGCATTTATTGGTCCATCTTATTCTCATTTCAAATATCAAGAACGATGTGTAAGGCTACAGCAAACTGTTCACCTCAAAGAGAAAGCGTGGTGGCCCTGAGGAAGTCATATTTTCTTGGAGTAATGAGGAGAGAGGGAGTCAAGGAACCTGAAACAAATGTGTCCCGCTGATTTTCTAGCCAAATATTGACAGTGCTGTACTCCTGCCAATGTCAGTGGATACTAATTTGTGCAGCAGTTTTCTTGCTTGTGATAAGATGTAACTATAAATTATGCCGAAAGGAAGTCATGAGGGTATTTTTCCCTATTTATTGCTGTTTCTTCCATGAGGTTGGGGCCAGTGCTGTCCATGAGCAAATATGACAACATCACAGGCAGTTAGCATCAGGCTGAATAGAGTAGCCTGTGGGCTGTTCAGTCGACTCTTCTGAACAGTAACATTTTGTTTTCCAGGGTGTCTTTTGAAAACACAGCTGCTGGGCAAATGCATTTCACAAAAGCAGTCACTTCAGTTTAGTTCAAATGTTTTTCTTCTTTAATTTGTGCATGCTTCTTTGCAGAATCTTCCAATGCTTCTCTGCTGACTAACGCTGAGAAGATAGCTACCATCACCACCACACACACACCTCAACAGACCACAGAGTCCAGGTAGGTGGAGATACATCTTTGTTGAAAGTATTATTTTATACAGGACAATGTATATTAATGAGTTTCTCTTTTTCAAAAGGAATAACTCGAAGTCGAAAGGAGCTCCTCTTCCTCCACCCATACAAACTCAGACAGCACAGGTAAAAATAGATGTTTTCATTACCAACTATCAGTCAGGTACCATAACAAAATATAAAAATGAACAGAGGAAAGCTAGATAAATAACCAGTGTTTTGCCAGAAGATAAAAAGGCCATGAATCTACAAACAGGTAATATTAAAGGTCCTGCAGCTCCTAATACTAAAAAAAAGTTTAAGTGTTGATCTTCCTACTCTTTGATTTCACAATATAACAAAGTATCAATGAATGCCATCCTATAAAGGAATGCAGCATCTTAACAAGGCACTCTGCAGTTATTTATGCAGCAGTGTTGAGCAGCGCTCTTTAATGAAGGTCTTAACATAATGACAAGGTAGTAAGCCTTTAGAGTAACTGGGTATTACGGTTCAAAATTAAGTTTCCCTTACTATGCCTTTAGCATCCTACTGGTTATTTACATTTGAATCTTATTTCATTTATGTCTAAGTAAGGATGGCATATCCTAAATACTATTTGTCTTTTACATATAGAAACACAAATAACCATATTCTGACAAATATTACATCTTCACTAACTGTTCCCTACATGTCTCAGATGTTCTACTTGCATGATATTATCTTTAGCTTGTCCGTCCTTCTCCTTTCAATTGATCTTTTGCGTATTAAAAAAACAAAAAAACATATACAGTATCTATTCCCATGAGAGAGAAGTTTCATTGTATATAAATCTGATTTTGGAAGAGATCTCACTTCTTTTGAGGAGTATGGTAAGGTGTAGGCCCAGCCCTTGTGATGCCCTTGCTAAGTGATCTGTACTCTGCTCACAGACTCATGTGGCATTAATTATTCATTCATTCCAGTGTGTTGTACTGCCATTGACATTTTGTGAGTTTTTGTGGGATATGGCTTGATTAGTCCTGAAGTGTGGACTCACCTTTTGACTTCCTTGTGCACCATGGATTAGTCACCCCGCTCTAGTCTCCCTGTGACTTATCTCTCCTTTTCTGTCTCATAGGATGCCGAGTTCTACTCTGTGGACCTTGAGCGGGACGGTAAAGGTTTTGGCTTCAGCCTGAGAGGAGGGCGGGAGTACAGCATGGACCTGTATGTCTTGAGACTGGCAGAGGATGGGGCTGCTGTCAGAAATGGAAAAATGAGGGTATGCAACCATTACAATCTGCATGTGTCACTACTTAGTTTATAACTCTCGTTTCTCTCTTCTATGAATCTACTCATCCATTAAATAGCTATGATAATAACTTGGCCTCTCCCTTTTAGGTAGGAGATGAGATTCTGGAGATTAATGGTGAGAGCACAAAGAACATGAAGCATTCACGTGCCATTGAACTGATCAAGAACGGTGGTCGGCGAGCACGCCTCGTCCTCAAACGGGGAGATGGATCTGTTCCTGAATATGGTAGGTTAACAGGTTGAAATGTGTTTCTCTTCCTGTAAATAACACTACTTATGTCAGCCTTGAAATCTTATTATTGTTCAAGCTGTACACACCACAGACTAAAATAAAGCCTCTTATCTGCCTAGTGCACCACAGGGACAAATACTGTCTTTCAAAAAGAAAAACATTGATTTTCAAGAATTGCATTACTGTATATGATAAACATTTAACAGAAAGGCACTTTATGAACTATGGGTTTAATGTGACCTGTCATAGTTTCAGCACAATATTGAGCTGTCAAATGTTATTGATCAATGCAGGAATGGCTGCCGCTAAAGCTTGTTCAGTGATTTATACTCTGTAGTATCTGTAGTAGAGATGTTTTACAGCTAAAGTAATATTCTCTCCATAGAGCTGTATGCCCGGCTGATGGATTATTCCTCTCACTGTTTGAGTCATATTGTTGCATTCTTTTCTAGGGTTTAATATTCTGATGCTTTCCTTCTCTCAGATGGATTTGTGATACAGTATAAAGAGTTATGTTTCTTTGTCTTTCACTACAAACCCTTTCTTCTCTTTATCAAGATGCACTGTAAAACAGCCTCTTGTCTGTTTTATTTGTTTTCTCCTCTCTATATCCTCCTTTCTCTCTGATTGTCTCTTGTTGCTGGGCTCTTCCTCCTCTCCAGCGATGATGGCTCCTCATCTCGCTGTTGGTACAATGAGGAATGACAAGATGGGAGAGCCCTGTTTCTACCTAATGGGCCAAAATCAGACCACGGTTTGTAGCCAAAAGTCTGTCCCAACTCACTCGCCCTGTCATCTTTTTCCTTTCGATTTGATCCACCCTTCCTTCCAGCTCATACCTACCTGAATCCCACTCTGTGTGTGTTTGCGCGCAGGTGTGTTGACAGTGTGCATGCTTTATGTCGTGTCATGCCTGAATTCAACTTAATTTAACTTAAATCTGTACACACACAAACCCTCCCCCAGCCCCACACCAGATTATTTTTTACTGGGACTAATTTAATGCCACTTCCCATGCTGCTACCATAGCAACCCGTCTCTAATTTGGCAGACCTGCAACCAACACACTCTTTTTTGCTTTGAGTTTGTTCCTCCCGATGATGCACCATATTTGTTTTGAATGATTTCCTAGGTGTCTGCTGTGCCATTGATAACCCCTGCCCTACACTTGCCGATGTGTTGCTGACATCACCTTGTGTCTCCGCAGCCCTATAGAGAAATCATATTGAAGTGATTCATCACTTCAATGCATTTTATGTTTATAGATCAATTTAGATAAGCCTGATTGTTTCATGGGATATATACTCAGTATATGAAAGAGCACATGTATGCATGACATCCATAAATCTCTGCATTGATTTGCTGTCAAGTCAATGCGAGAGCAACCATGAACCAACAAGGAAAGCCATGTCTGCTGAATACAATAAATGTCAAATGTTGATGTACAAGTATTCCTCAACCTCATTCAGCTAATAAGGTATTTCTAGTCAACAAGCTCCTCTTTCTTTCTCCTCTCCTGCAGACGGCAGCAGTGACGGGCACCCTCCCACACCCGGGGCACAAAACACTCCGGAAGTGAGAACGCTGCCGCCTAACAGCCGATATCACACCTCATTGGAGTCCAGTTATCCACCAGACCTTCACAAACCATCACGCCAGGAGGAGGCTGCGTGTGGCCGAGCAAGGGAAAGGGCTGGGTCAGATCAGATGGACTACCAAGGCCGGCAAATTAATCCCCACCATCATCACACCTGGAATAACAATCACAGTCAAAGTTCCCCCAGACAGCCGTCTCCAGAAGATGGTCACAGCAGTAGCAGTGACAACAAGAAGAGCCGAGGCCGCAAAGTCAAGAAATCCGATTCAGAGAGCGGCATCTCTAAACTCCTGAAGACTCTGAGGAAAGACAGCTCGGGGAAAAAGGCTGCAGCTGCCCAGAAACTGAGGGGGCGAGAGCTCTCAAACAGCAGCTCTACTTTGGACGGGAGGTCCCGGCAACGTCGCGGGTCCCTTGACCGCTCTCCAACATCAAAGCATGCCCCTTCTCCTGATCGCCGGCGGGCCAAGTCCATGGACCGCAGGGCAGAGCGAGCACATCGCGACCGCACACCTGAGAGGGAGTACGACGATGGCGGGTTCCTTGCAGCCACCCCTGAACGCAAGTTCTACGAGCGGAGGCTCCTCAAGGACCCGCAGACGCCTAGACAAGTCAAGGAGGCCACCACTCCAGAGCGGACCAACAACAACGGGGATTCCTTGTCTCTTTCCAGGGGTCGTACATGTGAGAGAGCCACAAAGAACGGCAACCTCCTGAGAGACTCTTCGCCAGAGAGCAGGCAGGAGAGATTTCCGATGAACGGGACACCGGAGCGACGATACCGAGTTGAGCGGGACTCTTCCCCTGACAGCAACTACAGCCGGGAGGAGCTGAACTATGCAGCAGCACCCAGACTGAAGGATTACTACGGCATGATGAAGAACAACGCTGCACACAACAATGCTGCCTACAACAACACGGGCCATAACAATAACGCAGCAGGCCGCAGCCCAAACCAGCTCCCTGAGCCCAAGAGAAGGCTGTACAAAGAAACCCCCAAAGACCTCAGCATCTAGAGCAGAGACCCCCCTCGCCACTCTCTCCTCTATCTGTGCAAACTATGTACCATACACTGGAATTGGACTTCTGAGGATACTAACTCTTGTGCTTCATTTGGTTGACCGATTTATTTGAATGATTTGATTAACTTAACTACTTGTGATCCTACCCAGAGATTCATAAAACAGCAGGAGTACAATCCTATTATCAGTTCATACTGGTTGTTTTGTCATTGTTAGAGTTATTTTGAACATAACAGAGGTTGTTGTACTATAATAAAGGTATTGTATGTGCCTGCATATGAAATCAGTGATATTGCTTTTTGTAGGCATTGCTGAATCTAAATATTTGTTCCCTCAGAGGTATGAAACATGCTTCCAGTTGTGGTATCTTCTAACTACTAAGCTTGTTTTCAACTTGTTTTTAGATGTCTGTTCCATTCCTGAATTGCTTTACTGAACAAACTATAGCACAAGACACTGATGGTTCACAAGTGAAAGTCACGTTGGACTTCAGGCAAAAATCTAAATTTAAGATCTGATGGTGAAACTAGAGTGATAATTATATAATTAATATATGACTGTCATTTGCTCACTATTTATTTTTTATTTGGCACATATTGAGCAAGCTCAATTTCTTGAGGACCAAGGTAGAAGTGCACACTGTACCTGGAAAAGCATGCTGTACCCTTACTTGTGTTGCATCCCTGAAATGTGTGGCAGCTCACCCTCCTTTGCCTAAATACACACACACACATACACTTCTAAAATTAAGAATAGAGATCAGACAAAATTGGCAATGTTGTTAATAATTGATCCCTTGGAGGAGGATTTTAAAATAAAAATGAATACTCACATTGTTTCCCAGTTTGAACTGATGTAGCAGGGAAGTAACCCGACTCACTTTTAAATACAGGCAAAACGGTTTTGGTAGACTGTTGTGGAAAAATCTAAATTTGTTACAAAAAAAATTGATAAATTGTACTTAATATGAGTCTGCATTTTGCCACAATACCAGCTTGAAGCTGCCATAAAATATGATTTTTCAAATATGCCAAAAAAAAAATTAAAACACAAATGTGTAAGTTAATCCTGTGCAAGATGCATGTGTAAATTTAAGTGTAGTTTAACCACTTTATCTGATAGGTCTGAGCGAGAATAATCGATAAGAAACATGCACTGTACTCCCACAGTAAGTGTTAGCCCTGTCCCCATGGTAACCACACTGCGCACCGACCACCTCCTGGGTCCTGACACAAAGAGCTGATGTGGTTTCTTGTGTTGGTAAATATGGAGTCGCGGTACAGGAGACAACCAATCTGCCATGCTGAGCCATGCTGTCACGCCACTGGAGTCTGACTGCTGCTTTATAATGTGTTTGTGTGTATTCTCCGTTTTATGTTTCATTAAAAAAAAACTAAAATATATTGGATAAACCACAACAAATGCATTGTTTGATCACTGTTGTCGCCATGGTACTGTATTAACAAAAAAGTAGAAAAAAAAGGAAATACATTTAAGAAGTTAACCTGTTGGCCATCACCTGTAAAGAATTTTCCAGTGTAACTATTAGGAACCTGTCAAGGATTAAAATGTTGCCTTTTTCTTGTACAAAAGAGACATTTATGAAAAACCTCAGCAGTGAGGAATGTGATATTGTGTTTATATCTCTGAAATGGACCTGATGATTTATGGGAAATATGTTAATTTACTCTGGATCAGGTATGTAAAGACATTTTAAAAGACTGTATTTGGTCAATCAGAAACTGTTTGATGGTTTGAATCTCTCTCGATGGTTAGCCTGCCTTTGTATTATAAAGCACTTGTATGCAGTCTGTGTTCTTCAAGCATTATTTCTTGCAATGTGCTCCGGACATAATGCTGTCTCTGTGTTGATAAAAGCAGTACATGTATATGGGCCAATCTTTTTTATAAAACTATGCATATATAAATACTACATTGTTCATAGCTTTATTTGACCCATGAAGCTATACATAACATTAGTCTAAGTACAAGTAGATGTGGACTTATCCAGCTTCTTTCCTTGAGATGGATTACAATGTATATGTAGCTATCAAAAGAAGTCTGTGAATGCTATTTTTATTATCAAATAAAGTTTTCCATACAAATTCAAAAGGATTTCATATTTCTGCACAACCGTTTTTCAGTAATGTCTCTGGAGACACTCTGGAGAGTTTGATCAAATCACTCTGGTGTGTCACTCCTGGTCACACTACGTTTTAATATGCAGCTTTAGAGACTTTCTTTTATTGAAGATCGACACTGGAGGAGAATGTACTACATTTAATAATGACTTTACAACGGTTCAAACTTAAATCAAAATAGTGACATGGAAATGTAAAACATTTAAAGATGTTAAAGTATGGGCTGTCAACCGCATGGCTTTTCTTGTCTACAACACTGTCTCCCTCCTTACACTCCTGGAGGTATTATTTTGTTATTGTTACGATAGTAGTCATTGTTGCAATAACACTAATAATTCCACTGATACTTCATTACTTCAAATGGTGCAGTGTAATAATAATAATAATAATAATGATAGTACAAATTGACAGATTAATGAACACTGTTCCGAACCATACTAATATTAAAACTGGTTTCGAATGGTATTTTGCATGTGAGAACAGTAAAGTATAAGTTGTCATCCATCCAATACTCTTTAATTACCTTCATTAAAATGTTAGAGCATGTCTTTTTTAGTTCTAAATTTAAGCAGCGAGTGATTGATTTTTTCTCTCCATTAAGCTTTACTTCAGACTGCTCTGAAGTATATCTGTATTCCATGAAAGCTCCACTGGTAAAATGGTTGCTATAGCTACAGTACACATGAAGGTCATTACTGGAGAGATCTTAGGGTTTATTTTGTTCGAGTCTGGCATACTGCACAACCAGGAACTGAGTGGGAGAAATCACGTCATCACACGAGTTAACGTCTTTCATCTTAGTGGTACAATGTAACGCTACATCTGTGAAATATTTAATCCATGAACCTGTGCAGATCTCAAGTGGGTCTCATTGATAAACTAACTGCAATATCTATCTAATATGCACATCTAATACAACAGGAAAACTTGTTGTTAATATGCATATCTAATACTCTAAATAGGTTTTCATCTTTATTCTGAAAACTGATTGAGAAATGTACAACTTTCCCAAGGATTCTTCCGAAAACTGATCCTTCAGTAACACTTTTCTCTAAGTCCCCCATTAGCTGCCTGCCTAAGGACTTTGACTAAATAATGTAAAACACACTACAGTATACAGCAAAGAGGACATATTTAAGTATTTTTTAATGTTAAGTATTTGTTAGCAATCATAACTGGTAGCACTTTTTTAAAGTTCAAGTATTTTGCATTTGTAAGCAAAATACAAACATGTAACAAATGGTTTATTATTACACTATAAACTGAATCACTGACAGCTCTTAGGACATTTTAAGAGTTTATTAATGTAAAGCATTATATCATATAGTATACTCCCCTGTGAATAAATACATTGTAAGTTTATAAGTAAGTCATTGTTTCCATTCCATAACCTTTGCATCAAGGTGTCTCTTGATAATACTGTTATCCGATAATCATAATCTAATGACGAATATTAATCACATTAAATAAAGGTTAACTACAAAGTTGGTGTCACATCTATAATCATCCCTGATTAATAATGTCATAATCCCTTAGGTAGGCCAATTCTTAAATTCAAGGTGCCCTGTGATTGAAATAACACTAGGAGTAGCAATGCAGATGCCGCTACAAAATAAATTAAAACGCTATTCTCAATTTTTATATTTCCCAAATATCCGCACCAAAAAGCTCTGAATCAGAAGAGCACTAGTTGTACTATAAAAGCTCTTTTGCCCCCCACATTTTAAATAAAACATGCAACAGAATGAGTCATTTGCAAAGTGCGTTTTATTTTACATTGCCTTGGTAACATGCGTCTACATTTAAAAATAAGCCAGTATCATATGATCCAACTGTAAAAAGGTTTTTTCCCTTTCCTCTTGGAAAAAATAAATTTTTAAGTTGGATATTCTGCAAATACAGAACAACTCTGTTATGGCCAGACCTTTCCTGCAACTGTCTTTAGGTTGAACCAACACATTTGTAAAAATACAAAAAGGAGTTATTTCTGTAGACGTTAGCCTTCAGTCGTTTTACCAGGGGAGCAGAAGTCTTCTTCTTCGATATTGGATCATGGAGCCTGTGTCAACGGCCCTTTTATGCAGGAGACACCGAGCTCGTGGATACAGATGAAGCCTCGGTCTTAGTAGAGGACGCTCCTTCCTCCTCCTCAAATGGATTTTTACCGCAGCACAAGGTGGTGATCATGCAGTGGCGGAACTGCTTGTTCATGCAGATGTAGATCATTGGGTTGTAGACGGCAGAACTCTTGGCAAAGAAGGACGGAACGGTCATGAAGATTGGTCCGAACTCAGCTCCTTGATTGCAGAAGATCCACCAGGCCGTACTGGCATAGGGAACCCAAGACACCAGGAAGGCAACGACCATCATTACTACCATCCGGCTGACTTCCTTCTCAGCCCTCTGGGTGGTCTCAGACTCCTGCTGGGCAGCAGCAGCCTCTTTGACAGCACAGAGTAGACGGCCGTAGCAGAAAGAAATGATAATCATTGGGACCATGAAGTGGCAGGAAAACATGTAGATAACAAAGGACTCATTGTTGAATCCTTCTGCACGTGTGTAGTAGTCGATTCCACATGAGCACTGCATGCCCTCAGGGATGTAACGAGACCAGCCGACAAGAGGGGGCACAGCACAAGCTGAAGCCATCACCCAAGCGAAGGCCAAACCCATGATTGCGTGATCCTCCCCGAAGCGGAAGCTACTGATGGGCTTGCAGACAACGATCCACCTTTCAATAGCCAGGACAACCAGTGACCAGAGGGCAATCTCGCCACCAAGGGTAGCAAAGAATCCTTCAATATTGCAGCCGAGGCGTCCTAGGACGAAGTAGCCGTGCATAGAGCTGTACATGGTGGTGGTGAATCCTCCAAACACCATGAAGAGGTTAGCCACAGCAAGGTTCAGCAGGATGTAGTTTAGAGGGGTACGCAGCTTCTTGTGTTGGATGGTGACGAACAGAGTGAGGAAGTTGATGGGGAAGCCAACAAGGATGAGGAAGAACATGTAGGCACCCAGGGCGGCGAAAGCTGCTGGGTTGACAAGGTAGTACTGAGGGTATTCATAAGGACTCCTGACAACGCCAGTGGTGTTAACCATAGGGATGTAAAAAAATGCTCCCTCTGTCCCGTTCATGTTTGCGGCTTGCGGTTTCAATCAGCCCTTCAGTTTAATTTCTTGGATGGAGAGGACCCTGCTACATGTGGATCCTGGTGGCCAAGGTCTGGCTTTTAAAGGCACACCTTGGATTATCCATTTGTATGTCTGTCAGCATAACGTGATTTAGGCCAAAGTTAATATCTAATCCAGCAGCCACTGCAAACATATCTGACAACTCATCAAGATATCAAGGTTACACCTGCTCATGCATATTATGGAGATATTGATAACTGCTTTTTTAAGTACCTCATGCTTAAAAAGTAACCTTTTCATGTGCATTTCATTTAAAAGATACTATTTAGGGCTACTTTTTCTGGGCACATAAAACAGTCGGGGTCTCCCCATATTTGCATGAATTTCCTTCAGATGCTCCCAACTCCCAAAGCGAAAAAGTCCAGATGTAGGCGATCATAGATTTTCAAATATCAATAGGTGCATTAAAAAAGTATGAACTCTAGTCTATATGAAACACCAAAATCACTCGTATATCTTCTGAAAAACAAACAATATGCCAGATGTTTACTAATGACAAAGAGCTGTTCAGCACTGCTACACTTTTTTAAATTAATAATCATTTTGCCATTTTTTTAAAATCATTTTTGGATAAATTATATCTTTTAGTTTTAGAAGAAATGTTTTTTTAAATAGGGACAAAAGACTTTTATAATTTCTGAAAACCCACAGTGATGTTGTATGTGCTTGTTTTGTTTCCAGTCCAATATGCCAAAGAGTGGGATAAAGTAAATACTTATCATTCTGTAGATATTTCTAAAAGTTTAAATGCATTTCAGGCCAACGTTTTAGCTGCAATACAAGCCATGTTTAACCACAGATATTCTTTACAGAGATTTAAATTTCAATATTATTGCATAGTAGTGTCCTGGCCATGATAGTAGCAAACGATAACCTCAAAAATGTCTTCAAATATATGGTCACCTGTATTCAATTGGTACTTTACTGAATATAAAGCAGAGGCACTAGTGTTGCTGAGTGCTGGCGCATCTTAGCTATCGGTAAAGAGCTTATTACTTTCCTACTGGGTGTTGTATTAAAGAGATTTGGGGCTTAGGGGTGTGTTACTTTCACAGGCCTGTAATGGATTTAATGTTGCAGAGCGTCACTATTGCTCAGTGGGTTGTTGCCTTCTTTAGATTTGATCTGTTCTTTTAAATATTTTGTATTGGTTGCACGTCAAAAATAAAACTTTACCAATCCATGACTTAGTTAAAGTATTTATGAAGAAGCAGCTGGTTCTCTTTGACGGCCTGTTATGGTGTAAGTGACCATATAAAGTCATGTTTAAGCCACGTTGAAGCATTTTCAGTGAATGGCTTGCATTTTCTCTTTCTAAAGTTACCTCTTGACGTTTTGGCCATCACATACATACATACCCCCATACTGACAAAAATATGTAATGGAAACCCTTCAATGTAATGAGTCAAGTCTCACATACAGCTGCTCATAGGACGGTGAATTCTTGATTCCAGTAAAGTAATTCCAGCCAATATGAGAAAAATAAATCAGGTTTTAGACACCACTATGCTCTTTGGGAGGTTTTGGTAGTATATATTGATCGATAAATGACACGGAATAGTGATATGTGTGTTCTAAAAAAAGCAATACCTCAATATTGGGCAATACAATACATAAGTTAAACTAAAGCCATCAAACTGTAAGAAAAATGTATATAAAGAACAGCACAGATAAGGGCCAGTAGAAGATACGCAAGAGGTACAAACTCGACACCACTTGTTTATCCACATGCTGCAAAGGATTTACAGAGCCAGGAGTAGTTCAGGACAGACCTGTTGT